CATTCCTGCAATAGTTACGAAGTCTACCTTTTAAAAAAAAAAATTATTGCTTTAGTAATTTCTAGTATACCCTGAAGGCATAAATAATCTGTTAGTTACTTGAATGTGGATATTCAAAACAAGAATGCCCTTTCTTACCTATTTTAGTGTAATGCTGAGTCGAAAACATTTGGGAAAGTTGTATTAGCATTGCTCACGTGTTAACAAACCTTAAATGCTCCTTAGTTCTGTGTTTTATTTGGGATGTTCCTATAACAGAGCTTGTTATTTTATTGTCCTTGTAGCCTGTTCTTGATGTGGGCAAACTTGATGCTGAGCTAATAACCAAGACTAGAGAGCTGAGATTCCTGTTCCCTTGAAAATCAGGTAGATTAATCTAGCCATAGCTTATATTTATTTTTGTGAAGTCTGTAGAAAGGGAGAATGAATCAGCAAGATAATCTTATGAAAGGCCTGCAAAATGCTTCCTGTTGACCAGATATAAATGTAACTTTTTAGAAGCAGAGCACCTAGGAACATGGCCCTGCAAGAGAGAGAAATCGGCAGCAGCTCCATCAATGACAAGCAAGAGCAGAACTATAGTCGTGTTATTACAATTGTCTTCCTGGCACTCTTCATCGACTTGTTGGGATTTGCTCTCATCTTGCCACTGTTCCCTTCCATCCTTGATTATTACAGCCAGACTGAGGTAAGCCACAGAGAAAGTCAGCCTGCTGAAAATGTTAGGCATGAGATCTTCAGGGAGGGATGGAAGAAAAATCTCTTGCCTTGGGGCAAACCAAATAGCTGTAAGCAGAATAATAATATCGAGCACATTTAAATGGTTCATGGACTTAATTTGTTTGTGAACCTGCATAAGACTTCCATCTTGCTTTTTCATTAAAACAAGGGATTTGTTTTGGAGAAAATTCAGGTATTTCTTAGGGGCTAGTCCTTGTAATTACCATTGTGTTTGTGACTTCCACTGATGTCACTGGTGAGAGGGAATAAATGACAATCCATAATGGATCTGCATACTGGGGTTTATCTAATAACCAAAGCCATGAGAGCTTTTATCCAATCTGAGTACTTCACACACTCACTTGCTCCCACTCCCAGCATTGTGTTCTATTTCCCAGCTATCTGTTTTGCAGGATGGATTCTATTTGTCATTGCAACGTGGTGTGGACTGGTTTGCAGTGATGGTTGGGATGCCTCCAGAGCGGAAATACAACAGTGTCTTGTTTGGAGGTATGGAAATTAAACAAGGTAACAGACTGGAAAAAAAATAAATTGTTGTGCTCAAATTATTTGCAGTGTTGATGTGAGGAATGGTGAGGAAAATGACAAGAAATACAGAAAGCATACTTGCGTGTTATTAGATTTAAATAACAGAAAATATCCCTTACAGTAGGCTATAAATAATTTTGCTTTCATCACACTGATATCAATGAAGAGTTGAACAACCTCGTCTTTGTCATTTGAAGACATGTAGACAGGCAGGAGGAATGGGCCAACAGGAGCCTTACGAGAATCAGTAAGGACAAACGTGAGGTCCTGCCCCTGGGAAGGAGTAGTCCCTTGCAGGAGTACAGACTGGGTACTGACTGGCGGGGAGCAGCTCTGCTGTAAGGCCCTGGGGGTCTGGGTGAGCAGCAAGCTGAGCGTGAGCCAGCCCTGGCAGCAAAAGCACCAACAGCATTTGGGCTGTATGAACAGAAGCAGAGCCACTAGATTGAGGGAAGCTATTGTCCCCCTCTTCTCAGCACTTGTTAGACCACATCTAGGGCACTGCATCCAGTTTTGGCCCTCCAGTACGAGACAGACATCCTTAAACTGCAGTGAATTCAGCGGTGGGCCAGGAAGACGGAGGGTCTGGAGAGCCTGGGCTTGTTCAGCCTGGAGCCATTAGCACCCTTCCAATACCTGTGGGGGGGTTTTGAGAAGACAGTGAAGCACTTCACTGTGGTGCACAGCAGGGGAGAGACAACAGGTGTAAGTAGAAGCAAGGGAGGTTCAGGCTGGAACTAAGGAGGAACTTTTTCACAATGAGGATGGCCAGTGGAACAGGTTGCCCAGAGAGGTTTTGTAGTGTCCATCCTCAGAAGCTGGAGGACGGACATCCTCAAACCCTGACTGGGTGAAACCCTGAACAATCTTGTCTGACCTCACAGAAGACCCTAGGAGCAGGTAGTTGGAGTAGGTGACCTCCAGAGATCCCTTTTAACCTGAATTATCCTATGATCTTGCACAGCTTGTTCCACAGATTGCTAGAGAAATGCAGACCTGCTGTTCCTTGTTGTCAGACTGCCAGCTGAGGGTCAGGAGCTGTGCTAGATGCTGCGCAGTCACAGAAATTACTCTCCCTTCACAAGCGATCTGCATGTGATTGGAGATCAGTGGTAGGAAACACTGGAATCAGAAGCTTGTGAGTTCAAGTCTCATCTTCCCCCTGGGCAGCTGTAGTGCAGCTTCTAAATCTCTTTAGTCCTGTTAAAAGAAGCAGAGCTGCTGATTTGTAAGGTCCAGAAGCATTTGCTGTCACTGCTACACTGGTGTGGGTGAGCTCCAGTGGGAGTAACGCAGGAAATCCAGCAGCAGATATGTCATGTTGCACCTCAGAGGTTCTTTTGGCTCCTTGTGATCTAGAGAGTTGTGACGAAATTGGGATTTCAGAGTATGAAGATGTGAGGGTGTCTGGGTTAATTTTAATTGGAAATGTCTAGACCCTCTCCTTTTAGTGTGCTGAGGCCTCTCCTGAGATAAACAAAAGGCTTTTAAATGGAAAAAAACCGAAATCCACAAACATCTATTAGAATATAAGTGTGAATGTATTGTTACTATTTAAAGTAGTTTATTTGGGTATAATAGATATTATCATAGAATCATAGAATGGTTTGGGTTGGAAGGGATCATCCAGTTCCAACCCCCCTGCCATCAGCAGGGACACCTTCCACTAGACCAGGTTGCTCAAAGCCTCATCCAGGGAGGGTGCATCCACAACTTCCTTGGGCAACAATTTTGTTCTTTCCCACAGTGTCCTTGCAGGCATGTTTGTGCTTTTATGCTCATTTTCAGTCAGATTACTGGCTTTCAGTGGTAGAAACAGTTTTCTTTAATCCCTCAGAAACTGCTTTCTCTGTCGTCTGAGGCCTGCCTGCAAGTTTCCTCTGTGTACCTTCTCACCATCTCAGACTGTTTAAACAAGGGGCTGGGAGCTCGCTGGTGGGTCCAACGTGTTTCCTTTTCTCTTACCTGCTGTATCCCTTGATTTAGGAGTGCTGTATCCCTTGACTTGGCTCAGTTGCTTTCAAGGGGAAGGAGAAACTTCCCTGCTCATTCCAGAGGAGTCCACCTGACTCTTTTGCTCTTTGAAGAAAATACAGCATCTAACTGAGAACATGCAAATAAAATAGTCACTGTTCATCTCAGAAAGCAAGCTGTTATCCTTTGCTGTTTCCTCTCTAAGAGAAAAGAGAGAGAGGTGTTTAGAAGGAGTATTGAGTGGTGATGGGAATGTTTGCTAATTACCTGGCAGCCACAGGCAGTGAGGGTGCAGACAAGTTGTCTGAATTAACCTGGTATCTCTCCCATTTGACTCCCATCTCTTCTGCTGGCTTTGATGACAGTTTTTCTTAATGCATCATCTAATTTGCTAAACCAGCAGAGAACTTTTTTTTTTCTTTTTTAATTAAGTTTTCTGCCAGATTGAGTTGAATTAGCTCACTGGAAAGCTGACCAAGGCTGCAAAAGCAGGGGGAGGTGGACAAAGCCATCTTAGTTGTAGTCAGCTCCTGTCTCAGTCTGTCTTGTCATATTACACCTTAATGGTTATAGTGGAAATGTTCATTATACTTGTGATGTTGAGCAGTCTTCCTGCAGTCTGTATTCCTTCATTGCCCTCATCTGCAACAGGGAGCATAGGAGTGGAAAGATACTTAGAAAATCATCTTGTTGCTTCTCCCAGTGCAAGGTATATTCCACTCTCTTTCATCTTTGCTTAGACTGCAATCTTCTCAGGGCAGAAACCTTCCCTGCCCATGTCAAAGCCCTGAGAGCACCAATACTTGGTTGCTGTTACCATCCTTCACCCACTCATTTTGTGCCCTGTGATTCAGGAGCCGTATTTCAGCTCAGGCCTGGGCCTTGCCTGAGCAGTATCACACGTATGGCCTTGTCTCCAGGGCTGTCTCTGGCACTGTCTCTTGGCTGGACCCTGAACCTGCTTTGCAGGTGTCTTATCTCCTGAATAGACCTACACTGTAGTCTTGTTTCCACTCCTTTCTCTGACCCTGTCTCCTGCTGGTCTTGACTGAGCTCCCTGGCTGGATCTGATGTATAACCCTTTCCTGGTCTGGGACTGTCAGTGGACCCTGCTAGTGGCACCCTGCTCTGCCCGACCCGTCTGGATCACGTGGGACTGCACCCTGGTTGGTGAGGGCACTGCCAGTGCTGTGCTCACACTCAGCTCCCAGCTCATTCCCCCATGTGGGAGCAGCCCAGCTCTTGCTGCTCCCTGGCTGTGAAGTGTTTGGCCTGTCTGGGTGCTAGAAATACAGGGAAGAAAACTTGTCTCTTATTAACATAAACTGTGCATATACCAATCTATAAGATATTTACAGTTTTTGCAGCTCTCATAAGCAGCTGTTCTCCCCAAGGTATCTAGTGTTAATATTCTGCTTCCCTCAAAGTTGATGGGAGCAGAACTTCTCGTCTTTCTCTGCTCTGCCTTTTAAAGCTTTCATAGATGAATGATCTGAGACATATAACCCAGTTTTTCCTTTAGAGAAAAAAACTGTGACAGTAACACATTTTTTTGCCTGCTTGTTGAGAGTGTAGTGCAAATTAGTAAGTGTGTGAAGCTAGAAATGGCAAGAGAAAAGAAGAATTAAAGATCACAGAAGCTGGAGGCAGATTTCAAAAGATTCTTGGTGTCTGTTTGCATCACTCCTATCTCTTAGGGTCCTCACTAACAGCAGTGCTTGTGTCCTCCTTACCACAGTAAGGAAAGAAAAGCTAATTAAATATGACAGAATCAGGTTCAAACAATCCAAAAAAATCTTAAAAGAAACTGTGACTGTTAAAGAACTGCATTATCTCTGCTTTAAGAACAGAAAATGTATGTAGTCAACTGGGGAAGCATTGGAGAATCAGCATTCTGTTATAACCACGGGGTTTCAAACCCCGTCGCACCAAGGAAGTAACTAGTGAATCATCCAATTTGTGCCTGTTGCTCTGGCCTGTCTGTATTTGCTGCCTCAGTTAAACAAGAATGCAAGATTGGTGTTTTGAGGGTGGCTTAGTTTCAGAAAGCTGTTCTTTATAGCTGTGTTTTACATTTAATTGTGTGCCTTTAAAGGACATAATGCAGTGATTGGTCTGGAACAGGTTATTTAAGATGAAGGCAGCAAGTCTAATGATATATGGTTTGGTTTTTGTTTTTGTTTTTGTTTTTTAGGATTGATTGCCTCAATCTTTTCCATCCTACAGTTTTTCTCCTCTCCCCTCACTGGTGCTGTGTCAGACTGCTTGGGCAGAAGGCCTGTCATCTTGATAACAGTGGTATGTGTCTCATGCTGATTTTAGTCATGCCATCTCGACACACGGTTGAATACCCTGTGGTCTTGTGGTTAGCAGAAAGGATTGGGAAATTGAGTGTTCTAGATCTGTTGGCTGTTGACTGCTTCTTGCTAACTTACTTGGCCACACTTCCAAATGTGAGTGCTTAAGTTGAGCTTCCCAGATCCACAATTGTACCTAGAAGGCACCAAAATATCTATCTGTCTCTGGGATTTGCCAAAATCCCTTTCCCCTGTGTACCGAGAGTGTGACTTCAGATGCTGTGTTTACAGGTATTAGACTTAATCCCTGTATATTTTAGTTCCTGAAGTAACTACTGAGGGCTGATCACTTCATGACCTGTTTCACAGAGCTGGGGGATTGTTGCCTAGGAAGTGCTGTGTAGCAGTGTAAGATGTACTTCTTATGAACATGAACATTCTTCAAAAAGTTTTCTCTGTTGCTGGTCAGAGTATGGGGTTCTAATTACAGAAGCAGTGCAGAGGGAGTGCATACCATACATGGTGGAACTCAGCACCGAATGACAGACAAATCCCCATATCCTGTAGGCTTGTGGAGAGTGAATTAAATAAGCATGTGTGCTTATGATTGGTTATGAAATGTTAGGGCTAGAACTGCAAATTCTTCAAGAATTCACTTGAAGTTGTAAACAAGTGGAGTGGGATGTACAAAAGTGGTTTTGTGGCCAGGACTGATTTAGCTCCCTTTGAACTTTCTTTGCTCTTGTATTTTTATTAGTAACCTCACATTTATATGAAGTTTGTATGCATTTGTTTCTACTTCTTTTATATCACTGCCCAGGACATAGTTCAGTATCAGTATATTCAGACTTTTCTGTTACTTGGGTTTTGGAGCAACTGTTGAAAACAAACAAAAAAAACAAAATAAATGTTTAGGTGGAAAATATGCAGAAATGAGATCAACTTTGCTTTATAAAGAACCCTTTCTTGCTTCTGCAGATGGGTTTGATAACATCATACGCACTATGGGCTGCCTCTAGGACTTTCGGCGGTTTTCTCCTCTCCAGGATCGTAGGTGGGATAAGCAAAGGGAATGTCAGCCTCTCCACAGCTATAATTGCTGACTTGCCATCTCCAAAAGCACGGAGCAAGGGCATGGTGAGTTACACATGTGAGTTACACATATGTTTGGGTAGCTTTTTTTAGGTAACTTTTAATTGATTTCAGATGCTCAGATGTGTATTCATTGATCAAGTGAAAACATGATTCTCTATACTACCTTGCTTCTGAAAAGCTGCCAGACCGTTTTGCTTGTGAGCACTCAGACTTTACTTGTCAGTGACTTTTACTTACAAGTGAAACTCAGACGCCTTAGAGGTAGAAAAACTACCTGTGTAAGTGTTACAACTGTTACTCCCACTGATAACGGTAGTCCTGACTATAATAGTTTAAAAATCAAAAGATTTTATGGCCCAGTTTTGGTAGCTGGAACCCAGTTACAGGAGAACCCATTTTTCTCACCTTTCAAACCTGTGGAAGTGCAGCAGCACTGCACAGCACAGCATGCCTCCTGACTTCTTTGGATGCTGCTCTGGCTTCAGTATCTGAGCTCGGTACGTAAAGGATGTGGCATTTGGCTGACTGAGCAGCAAGCAGTATGAACAGCTGCCCTGTCCTCTTCCAGAAGGCAGTGGACCAGATGGAAACACCCTGCACGTAGAACTTTGCCTGTGAATTACCAGTTAGATCTTTTATCTTATAAAAACCTTGGGTGCCCAAACTTCTGTTAACATATTGTTATAAGCCACTATGCACAACAGCTGCTTCTTGGGAGGAGAAAGGTTTAGATTTCACAGTGTTAGCTAATAAATTTTCCAAGCAATTTATTATAGTCCTGGTGAACCAAAGTACATTTTTATTTATGGAGAGGGATAGCCATACAGCACTAGTAAATAAAATGGGTCAGGGTCTATTTTTAGGGCTTGAGAGCAAGTCGCTTAGTACAGCATAGCTCACATCCATATGGCTGTACTGTCATCTTTTCCAAAGCAGAGTAGGCATCTTTATTCTGCTTTCTGGTAAGAGAGTAGCATCTAACTGATGCTATTCCCAAACTGTGATGGGGCATTGCCTGGGACAGTGATAGCTGGGCAGGCTGAAACAACACTGGAGACTGTGAGGTGACACCTAAGTGTGCCCTGGCCTTGTTTAGTGTAGCACTAGAGGTATGGTTAAATAGACCCAGGAAAGCAGGAGGATTGTGTCCTGGGATGGCACGTGTTTGGGTCCTGCATATGTGAGTATACATCTCTGAATGCCTCTTAAAGAAAATGAGCCAGACCCTGCACTGTTGTATTCTTACACAATCTCACCAAGGCTGATGACTGTAATCAGTGCTCTTTTAACTCCCATCCAGTGTGTACAGATTCTACCTCTGTGTGCTGGCTTTATAGTGAGTTAATAAATCTTCTTTATTACCTGCACTAAATTCAGGTTGTTCTGGGAAGAATCTCAGTCTTTTTGTTCTATGAGACATAAAACCCTAAATACAGAAATTGCCAAAGCATTTTAGAACCTATAGACACCATTATGAATTCCTACACTGGTGTCCTCCCTCCTCCAGTTTTACACTACAAAAGTTTATCCTATGGCTGAAGGATCTGCTGACTGAGCGCTCCTTGAGGTGAGAATCATTATTTCCCTTCCCAACTTCCTTTCACTCATAACCATGTTGCAGTTTATTCCTGCTACTTTCCTGACTAGACAGAAAATAAAATCAGTTCTTTGGAAACAACAGTTTCTTCACACTTAACACTCATTGCTGTGCACTCTCTCCATCCTCGGGGTGGTTGTGTTCTGTATCTGGTTGCATTTCTTTAAGGTAAATGCCAGGAAATCCAAATTGGTTTAGAACTGAGCTACCTGAACAAGCTGGTGTCTAAAACTTAATGTCTGTGTTCATTGTATCACTGCAGGCAATGATTGGCGTTGCTTTCTCCCTTGGTTTTACCCTGGGTCCCATGGTCGGAGCTTACCTAGCCATGGAGACAGCGAAAGGAGAAGTCTTCTATCTTCGCTCGGCGTTGTTAGCACTCGTGTTTGCTGTGGCTGATTTTATTTTCATCTTCTTCCTACTTCCGGAGACACTTCCCAAAGAAAAACGGGTAAATGGACTGTCAATCTGAAGATCTGTGTTTCTTGCAAAAACAGGGTTTGAGGACTGTTGAAATACTGGAAACAATGAAGAAAAGGCTGAGGCAGTATCTGAGGAATTTATCTCATTCCTGGGGCTGGGATTTCATATTATTATTCAGGCTGGTGTCAAAGTGGTCGTGTGATGGTCCCATCTCCTAGCCCAGTGTAATATGAGAAATTCTTTATAGCTAACATGTCTGCTTAATTGCTGGTTTTGGTGTGTTAGGTTTAAATTTCTCAAAAACTAATGGGAGCCTAAGAGGAAGAGGGTGAATTTTAAACTATGATGACAGTGACTCCCTGGGGGTGAATTTCAGCTAATCATAAAAGTAAATGCATCAGAGGCTGGATTTTCTTTCATTTAGCCAGTATGTGTTAGAAATTTTCTTAACTATGATCTTGTCTTTGCTTGATTATTTTGAACACTCAAGTGGCAAATGACTGTTACGTGCTGTCTTCCACAGAAACAAAATATGTACATGTGCCAAAATTCAGTGATGGTTTGGATTTGTGGGACCAAACAGTTATTAATGTTATGGTATAATATTGTGTGATCAGACACTGTCCAAGAGATATCTGATTAAAAGTCTCTTGGAACAGTCTCCATTGGTAGTGTGGGAGAGACTGAATTCAGCCCCAGGTATCTGGGTGAAGCACTGGATTTGAGGCTTTCAGCTGGACCACGTCTCTCCTGTCGCCCCTTGTTTCTAGGCAGCACTCAGCCGTTGAAGCGTGCTTGGTCTCTGGATGACCAGAGCCATTTGACACTGGGAATTGTTCAGGAAACTTTTGTTTGCAATGCTGCTCCTGGGGCAAAACTTTAGACCTTCCCTGAGTGTTTCCCAGTAGGTTGTGTCTCACATGAAACTGGTTCCTCACATTATCCTCTCAAGCACCACAGCTCTTTTTTTTGCTTTTTTTTTAACAGCTCTTCCATGTGGCTTCTGTCCCCCTTTCCTATTAGGCTGTTTCTAAACATTCCAGATAAGATCCTGTCCTTGGTTAGAGCTTCACACTCTGGTTTGGTGGCAACATATTGACATAGGGAAGTGCTGTAGGGTGGATCTGTATTCTATAAACAATTCCACCTTTGCTGTAGAGGAACAAATAACTTCAGCACCTTTTAGGACCGTATGATGATCAAATATGTCCCTCCCACTTTTATTATCCTCTTAAGAGTTCTTCTGATAAGTTAATCTGTGTTAGCCAACATGACTGAATATTGCTAAGAAAATGAATGCTCTGTCCCTGCTTTTGGGAGCTCTGTCTCTGCACAGCAGTGGATTTTGTGTGAGGTGGATTAGTAGGTGCCTCTGGGGTCAGGTCCCAGTCATACAAAACACACAGAGTGTTTGATTCCTGATGAGATAGTGGTTGTCTGGCACTGGAGCTTCTTGTGATCGGTATCAGTGTTAGTGCTTTTGTGCTGTCTCCTTTCAGCCTGCATCTGAGCAGTGGTCCCATCTGATTTATGAGTACTAGGATATTTATAATTTCACTTACTAGGCTGCTTTGCTCTTTTATTGGGGGGTAATTCCTCACCCTTTTGGAGTGGCAGCAGTTTTCTTGGCCCCTGGATGACAGAGGAAAGACACATATTTTGGCTGCTGTTCTGGAAGCTGGCTGGGCTGAGCTGGAGCAGGTGTTACTGGAGTGTAGGAGTGGAGGCGTTGGAAGGACAAAGCTGTAAAAAGAGGGGAAATGGTAACGATAACCAGTAGGAGAGTGTGCCAGTGGGATCAGACATCTGTTTCCTTGAAATATGCCGTGTTCTGGTGATGTTCTTGTTTCTCTATCCATCTTCTTTTCAAAGGTGAGATGAAGTATTTCACATTCGTTCATGTTGGAATTAAGTTTTAGAAAGAGGAAGGTGGAGAGGGGGAATAAAGATGAGTTTTCATCCAATGAGAACAGAATTTTTGCTATCCTTCCCCTTTTTTCCAACTGTCCCACAAATTTATCAGGTGAAGAGTGACCAGAGAACTGTCAAAGACACTGGTCTTATGTGAGGTGGCCAAAACAGCTCCTGCTGTCACCTGCTTGGAAGGAGGGAGGAATAGAAAGGTCTCTAGTGGAATCTGTCCCTTTTATGGGCTCTTGAGTTAAATTTTCACTACGCTAGTGGGGTGGTTTCACCCACAGGTAGGACCATGCGGTCCTGCACTGACTCCCCCCACCCGGTGAGGTGGGTTTGGAGTCACAACAAAGGGGCACAGACTAGGATGAAGAACTTGGGGAAGAAAAATCAATAATTCATTGACGTTCATCCAAGTAGCACAATGAGACATAACAACCACATCTTTATTACACCTCCCCCCCACCCCTCCCTCCTTCCTGGGCTCAAATCACTTTGCTCCCGATTTCTCTACCTTCTCCTCCCCAGTGGCACAGGGGACAGGGAATGGGGGTTCAGTCAGTTCACCTCTGCTGCTCTTCCTGGCATGAAAGTCCAGGAACAAGATGTTCCAACATGAGCTTCCCATGGAGTCACAGACTTCTGCGGTCACAGCTCCTGGCTCCAGCATGGGGACATCCACAGGATGCAGATGGGCCTCCAGTCCAGTGCACCTCCATGGCTCTGGGGGTCCAACCCCGCTCTGGCATGGAGCATCTCTGGGGTCTCAGTTCAGTCACACTTGCCCTCAGGCTCAGCTTTTCTGCTCCAGTGTGGAGTCCTCCATGGCCTACATGTGGGTATCTGCTCCACCACTGAACCTCCATGGGCTGCAGGGAATCCACTTTGCCTTTTCCTGCTCCATGTTTATTGAACTGGGTGTCTGAGGTTCTCTGTCCTCCCCGGTCCTCCTCCCTCCTTCTAGCAACGAAGCTCTCTCTTTGTTTAGGCTGATGTTTGTCTTTTGTTCAGGTCAATGGCCTCTCCTCCAGGTTCTTTCCACTTTCCTCTTTCCAGGACAGTCCTTCCCCTCACCAATATGGATTCACAGAGGTGTTTCTCTAGTGCTCATGGGCTCAGCCTGGGCTGGGGGGTCTCCGCCTTGGAGCCAGGGGGAGCTTTTTGCTCTCACAAGGTGGCCCTTCCCCCACTACCTCTCTGCATTAGAGAAAAAAAGAGTAAACAAACAGACTGTGGAAAATATCTGCCATTCAAGGTGACTTTTGGGTGCTCATGAAGTAAAACTGAGCAATTTTGGAATAACAAATCATGAACATAGAAATTAAATACGAGATTGATGTTGCAGATTTTGAACTGGCAAAGAATCTAAACTCTGTGCAGCTGGTGACATTGACTGAAATTGGCAGTGTATACTTTGTTATTTGAGGGTGGTGAAACACTTTTGTCAGTTTTAGGATGTTTTCATTATTGATCAGTGGATGAAGTCACTTCTAGACACTGCTTCTAGGGCAAAGATAGGAGAAATTAAAAGAAACTTAAATGCGCACAAGCACATGTATATTAAAAAAATAATACGTACGTATATTTCATAAAACACTTAATATTTTAAACATATACATATATAATCTATATCCTCCAGTCCAAACTAAAATCAACCTTGTACTACAAAGCAGCTTGGCACCCTGTCTGACATGGATAATAATTCAAAACAGGTACAAACTACAGTTTGATTTATATATTTTTTTTTTATTACTGGCAAAGATGTTTGAAGACAGCTGCTTGTTACCAGATTCTCTATACTGTAGTATAAACACCATCATGCCAAAAAATGCAGGAACTGGGGATTACTACAAGCCAACTTCAGGAAATCCTCTTACAGACCTTCTAAAACCATGAGGAAACTTCTTCTTGGGAGTGTCTGTTTACTCTCTGCAATGCATGCAGTGGAAGGGGAAATAAATATTCCAGTTTGTTCTGTGTGGATCAGCAGCTTTCTGCTTTATACAAAACCAGACTGGTATGTTGAACTGGTTGCTTTTTTGAGACTACTGGGCTCCAGAGCTCTGCTGTCAGATACGCAGAAGCTCTGACTATTAAAAGAAGACAAAGGTCGTGTTAATACCGTATTGTAGGTTGATTTGCTTACAGCTTTATTAAATCCAGTCCATATGAGTCCTTAGGTCATGCTCTGAGATTAAGTTCAACTGATAATTTGACCTTTAATCTCTGCCCTCAAGGGAGTAATAGCTCCCTCCCTCCCTATCTGGGAAGAGAAGGAAGCTCATCAGATAAAGTCTGTGCAGTGCTTTGAAGATGTGAAATACTAAGTGTGATTATTCAAGATTCTTGGGTCTGTCTTATCTCTTCCTGTGACTGTCATGTAAAGCGACAGCCTAAATTCTCCTACTTTAAAAGGAAGTCTTTCCTTAAGAATTTAGACATTATTTCTTCTTTAGTATTTTCTTTCATTTTCTATACCTTAGAATAAAAAATAAACAAATTAACAAAAATAAATTCCTTGTAGATGAAAAAATAAGCATCCCCTAAGCTCCTGTTGATAAGGCGGAGGGAGAGTACCACTAGATGCATAATTAGGTTGAGATGTACAGAATACAGGGACCAGAAATGCTGCAAAACAAATTTCCCTCTTCAAAAAGCCACACAAAGTCTGGGCAGAATCGCTCTAAAATCACTCCAAGGAGTATCTCTAAAAATGTTATTTTCCTTGTCTTCCCCAGGAGGTGTCACTGGCTGGCTGAAAGAACAACCAGTACCAGCACAGACCGTTGTTTGATGTGCTACACATACTGTTCTCAGACCTCTAGCACATGAGCAAATCCCCAGCTTCCCATGACCTTGCAGGCAGATGTGCCATTATTTTCCCAGTAAATATTCATTGGACATGAGAGATGATACAAAAAGTGAACCAAATTAAGCCACCTTCAGGCTGTGGAGAATGAACCTCTTCTGCTTTTTAAGAACACAGGGAAGAATCTGTTTTCTGTCTTTAATGAAAGCTGCTGTTGGTGCTTCTAGTTACAGTGCTGGAGCCAGTTCTGTGACCAGAAAGTCTAGGCTGTTATTGGATTCACTCAAACCCCAGTGCTGTTTGTCTTGTTTCCTCTCAGATAATTTGTGTGGGTGTAGACACATATTTGACTGTTACTGTCAATTCCTTGCAGCAGTTATTATGTCAGGTTTTTAAATAAACCTTTTTTTCTCTGATCAGGTCTCTTCTGTGATGTCTGGATTTCAGGCTGCAGTTGACTTGCTCAGTCCTTTGGCTTTATTTCAGTTCTCTGCAGTCACCCGAGGAAAGGAGTCTCCTTCAGAGAAGAGTGAGTGTTAGTTGGCCTTTTATATTAATATTTCTTTCTGTATGTGGCGGTGGTTTCAACGTGAAAACGTTACTCAAACCATTTCAGAAGCAACACTTTGTTCACTCATTTAAAACCCACCTTACTAACTTATCAACAGGGAATTACAAGCTGACTTGGGTGCTGGTCCAGTCATTCCCAAAATAAGGTTTTAGAGATTAGTGTTTTGAAGATTTCTGACTTGCTACTTGCTTTTTCTTCAGGTACTGGCTGCACCATGGGGTAGGCTGCTGTAAGTGAAGTGATTTAAAAAGATAGATCAAGGCATGAGTAAGGGAGGTGTGAGTTTGCTTATACAAACCAGGAAACTTCAGACTGGAATTTCAGTTCAGGACTTGGAGATGTAGGATTTGAGCTGCCCATTTCTCTGTATGAAATTATTTAAGCTGTAGAAAATACATCAGTGTTTGCCAGGTACCCTAACGAATCATTCAGTTCTCACTGCTGCATCAGGAACAGAGTAGTATTTGCCACTTCAGAGAAAACCTGTTCAACCCTGCACTGGCAAAAAAGCAAGTAAGATAATCTGTCACAGACCGTTTGTAGCCTAGAAAAAGGGATGCTGTGCTTTAGCCAGTGTCATCCTGGGAGTGGCATCAAGTATTGGGTGGAATGCAGGTATTGATTAAAAATAAAAAATAAATCCCAGTATAGGTGTGTGTGTCAGTGTGAGGCAGAGGGGCTGGATCAGGTGACTGAGACCAGGGTCACCCAGGGAGAGATTAGTCTTTTTGGCTCTTCTCCCCTCATATGAAGGGAGGTGGTGAGCAGAAGTCATCTTGTGGCATGTCTTGTATGGATATTTAAAGTGAGCATCTGAAGTGAGAACTTCTCTGTACAGTTGATAGATGTTGCTCTGCTGTTGTTGTTGTATTCTCAAGCGATGCTTGAAAAACACCACCGTATTTCTCTCTTTTCTCCTTGGGGTGTGTGTGTTTGTTTTTTGTTTGTTTAGATCTTCAGAATCTCAAAATCTTGGGCCTGGCTTATTTCCTGTACCTCTTCCTGTTTTCCGGCTTGGAGTACACACTGAGTTTTCTCACTCACCCGAAAAAAAATCAGCAGGTATAGCGCACTTAGAAGATAAATGTTGTATATTTTGTCTGGGATATTTTCCAAAATCTTGATTTGAGGTATCTTAATTTATTTTTAAGAGAGGCTTTATAAGGTTAGTAAAAACAGTCAGAAAGCAACCACTGTGTTCAGTAACACTTGGGCTTTGTGGGAAGAATTTATGAAAGTAACCAGGCACACTGTTTATCATGAAAGGAAATACTAATTTAATCTACAGCTTCTAATAACTACTGGAAATCAATACACAAGATTAAATTAAAGCTGAAATACCTATAGCTGGGCTAGTTGTATTCATTGTTTACAAAACCTTTTCTCTTCTAGTCCAGAAGAGTTCTTCAGTATCAGGACAAATCTTGAAGCTCAAAAAAGGCAAAGGATGGAGGGATAGCTATATGATTGTATTTGCTCGTCAGTGTTCTGCATTGCATGCGGTGCACAGTCGTTACATCACAGAGTTTGATTTCCTTTAGTCAAACACCAGAGAAGAAAGAGAACAGAATCCACTAGCAGCAGCTCAGTTTGAAATACTTTTCCTGCCAGCTCATAAGAAGATTTCCAGCCAGGAACATGACCTTGCAGCTTGATTCCTTATGTGTGTCCTTCCCTTTGAGTAATTCTCAGGGGTTTGTCTCATCCTTCACTGTCTGTCTTTCATTACAGTTTGTGGCTTACCTAATGTGTGTGCATCAAGGAGAGGTTTCCTGGGGTGTTAAGCTTGGTTCTGCACAGGCCTTTCAGGATAGCCCTGTAGTAACATACACAGCTTTATGCTGACAGCACAGGCTGTGTGGCAAACGAGCTTGGTAGGCAGGTGAGAATTTTAATTGAGGGTATCCACATAGTTTAGAAGATGAGAGAGGTGAAAGGGAAATTTGAAGAAATACTTAAGGGTGGAGGGAGTGATGTTGCAAGCGTCGCAGAGCAATACATGATCACCACAGTGCCAGTGCCTGTTGTTACTTGGTGACCTTAACCAAACTCTGCATGAGTGGTGGCAATAGTTGTGAGAAAGCAAAACACTTGTTCCTTGGAAACTGACAGCTCCTGTATATATGGCACAGACACAGGGTGGTTAATGTCTTGGCTCTTTGTGGGTCACCCTAGAAATGACTAAACTCACATCATAGCTGTCTAGAGATGATTGCAGCATTTGTCAGGAGCAGTCCCATCTCTACCTAAGACCTCAGAGGTTTATCTTCTTGCTGTCTGCCTGCTGTGGACACTAATGTCAGCATCTTAAGAACTTGGCACTTCTCATGTGAGCACCAAATAGCATTTTCTCTCTCTGGTTCAGGAAAGGGTCTGCACTGAACCTGTGAATCCCAGGGTGGAATGCTCTGTGCGTGACTCCATAATCTGTGTTTTTGCCTCCCTTCTAGCATGCAGCAGGGCAAGATGTTTTTCTTTATTGGAATAACAATGGCTGTGATCCAGGGAGGCTATGCTCGCCGAATCAAGCCAGGAAATGAAATCAGAGCTGTAAAAAGGGTAAAAAAATGTATTTTTTTTCTTTTTTCCCCCCACAAATTTGGTATGTTAATTTTGAATCTAAAGTGCAACAATAGGTAGTTGGAGGCTATGACTGCTTGTCAAATCAAAGTAAATTTCTGTCTCATTAATCCACCTAAATTCTCAAGACCCTGGTTGTTGGGCACATATCTTTCTAACTAAACTTTGGAATATTCAAGCCATTTCTTACTGTATCAGCTATGATGTTATTGAAACTTTGAGTTCTTATGTAACTGCAGTAGGCAATGAGAACTGAGTGCCTGTCTGTGCAAGCTAGGTAAAATGCTGTGAAGTTGAGGTTTTGTTTCAGTGATTTCTCTTGCAGTGCAGATGTTAAAACTACTGAAGCTGCTTCAGAGCTGACCTCTGGCTCTCTTTCTGGCAAATTATTTTCAGGGACATCATGAGTCTGGCATTCTCTGTGCTTGACAGCCTTTCCCTAGAGTACATTTCACTGGTGGGCAGGGGGAAATAGATTCTTCCTCCAGTCTTTGATTTGTGATCACCAGTATTAGATGTAACCAGGGCAGGTACCCATGTTCAGACAGAAGTTTCACTGATGACAGTGTGCATTTCTTTGTTTTGCTCATCCCTTTCTTTGTAGAGATGATGCTGCTGCTGTATTGGGGTGACAGGGAACAGTTCCCTGCAGCTTATACAGCTGTGGGACAAGTAGATATGCTTTGTAAGTTACGTTTGTGTGTGGAACTAAACAAAGCAGGTTCCCAGTGTCCCTGAACTTTGTTGGCTGCTGGGTAATAGGTATGCTGGGACTGTTAAAGCCTCCATCAATTTATTATACATTATTTTGAGGCCAGTGTGATTTCAACAGTGGCAGGGTAAAAAAGATTACCAAACTGCACTGCATTCCAGTGAATTCACTCAGCTGTTCTTAAAGTTATTTCTGATGGGGAAACCATCTCCCCCCTGCTCCCTGGCAGGCAAACGTTAGTGGCACATTTGCTGTGTCACACAGGAAGGTTTCCCTGTGAATGGAAACTCCCCCTGCTATGTTAGTGCTGCTTTATCCTCTGCACCATCTTCCTCCATGTGCTCTGCCAGCCTGATACGTTTGCCATCGCTGCACTGCAGCTTATACCAACTGTGGTTTGCCCCACTGATTTTTATACCTTTCCCTGCCCTGAGAAGTGTAGTTACCTTGAAATACTCCCCGAGTTGAGCTGGTCTGGGCTGATGGCTCCTCAGAAACACCCATGGGCGCTATGCAGAAACAGGCTGGCCTGGGGCATGCTCTGTGGGTGTGTGTGGCCTGAGTGGCTTTGGGGGAGTTCCCCCTTTTGCTGAAGTTATTCTGGCAATTTGTTTGTGAATCTGGATCATATGGCAAGTGTGGCCTGTCTTAGCACAGTGATTACAGTAGCTCATTTATAACTGAATCTTCAAAATAAGACCTTTGGTGGGAGAGAATACCCGCTTTTGTGAAAGGAGCAGCAGATCTTAACTGATCTGTCTTTTCTGCAAAAGCTCTGTACTCAAGGGAGACATCACAGGGGAACCAAAGTCCAGGCTCTTGGAGGAGATGAAGAATGCTTTTTCTTTTTGGGTTTGAATTTCAAATGCCTCATTTTTTCTTCTTGGATGCAGAAGTGTGGACTCTGAAGGCTCAAGAAGGTTTGATGTAGCCCTTAAAATTGGTCGGTACTGCTGAGAAAAAGCAGAGGAGCTGTAGTCCTCTTGCACATAAGCTTTTTGATCTCTTGTGCCAGCTTAGGAGATAAGGACTTAAAGCTGCATTTCTATCCAGTTCAACACAGAACAAGAGGAGAAAAACCACAAAAACCAGCAGATCCCTTGAGAGAGAAAACTCTGCAAAAATCAATTTTCCCTCAGCTGTGGGAAGGGGGTGGTGGGATAACTCCAGCCTGTGTTACGGGTGACTCCAGCCTGCGTGGGGTCTGTAATCATGTGCTAGAGAGGGGGAACAGGAAAGAAAATTGCTCTGGTGTGTGGCCATCCAGGTGAACTTGAAAAGTCTGCTCGGGAAGAAAGGGTTTCCTGCTTCTAACTTAAATGTAGTCCCATCAGCGGAAGAGAACTGGCAGGACACCTAGAGTTAGGCTTTAACAAGCAGGGCTTAAATGTAACAGGGCGACTCATTCATTTTGCAGGCTATTATGTTGCTGATTCCAGCTTTCTTGTTAATTGGATGGGCTGCAAATGTGACCATGCTGAGTGCCGGGCTGTTGCTGTACTCTTTCGGTGAGCTATTCAAACTGCAATGAAAGCTAAGCACAAAGAGCTTTTCTTCATATATTTATTCACCCCATTAAAAAAGATGCACTTCTAATTTTAAACTTTAAGTAACAGAAAGTTGATGTTTCGGTTTATAAAATATGGAAGAAATAGTGTCTGGGGTTTTTTTTGCTGATACTGTTTGTATCACAGGAAGTTGCCATGGTGATGTTTGGAAGCATCCCCAGTGTTCCTCTTGTCCTGTCTCACTGGGGAGCTCTCAAGGCTGTTTTTTTCCCCCCTCTCATCAGACCTAGAAGCAAAATATTCACTAAATAGCTCGGCTCAGGAAAAGAAGGAAAAGACATCATGTTTTTGTATTTCTCTGGTGGCTGCATTATTTCTTAGGCAACAGGCTGAAGGGCCCTGCACACTGAAGCTGACTCCTGAAGGGTTCAGGCTGAGAGAGAGTGAGGGTAAATCAGCGCTGCCCTGAACCTTGTGGCACGGGCCTGCGCTGGCTGGACACTGCTCTGCTCTCTTGCACTGCAGGCTGCCAGCTCAGGGAGGAAACAAAACTTCTCAAATTGGTTTTGGTAAATGCAGATGATTTTCAGATGTAAACATAAATCATTTTGCCAATTTGAGCTGTTACTCAGGGAAACAATTATGAATGACATTGGATTCATCTGCTGAAGTGCTCATCTGAAAAGAGATTTCACATAATCCCAATGCTGCTAACTATTGTTAAGAAGCTTCAAATATGAGTAATTATGAAAGTAGGAGACTTCTCTTTTGCATGATACAGCTTGATTTAAGAGTAAACTGTAAACCACAAAATGCATCTATATAGAGGCTCGCTTATCCAGGGACAGCTGTGTGTTTGACAGGTTTCAAAATCTACAACTTACCTACAGATTAACTTGCTCTTGAAAGCCCACTTGGTGAGGAGGGGTGAGAGGAGGTGGTGTATTCATTTCGTCTAACTGTGCTTCTAAGTGAGGAGCCTTGTCCTCCTCGGTTCTGTACCTGGGCAGAAGGCCCCATCTCTTCCCCAGTTAAGCCAGCTGGAAAAGGCTCTGGAGGGGCCTCTTTTCCCGCTCCCTTCATCCCTCTGCCCCAGGAGTTGGGCACCTGCAGTTAAGGCAACATAACATGTCTGTTGTTCCTGCTCTCCCAATTGTCCTTTCCTTGCAGAAAAGATTCTGCTTTGTATGCTTAAAGCACTTCCTTCTTGGCAGAAAAGGCCTCTCTGTCAGTAAGAGGGCAGCGACTGCTGAACAGCTCTTGGCTTTTGTGTCCAAAAATTGTGTAACCTCTTCTTGTTGGACTTGACTGTCTTATTTCCCAACACAGAACACAGCTGCCTCTCTCACCCATGAGGACGGTAAAGCCGTATGCATGGGGACAGTGTGATTCTGCACACAGCCACCTCACTGGCCATTCCCTTTCCCTGCTCCACCTGACGAGACCACAGCAATATGGAAAACTACCAGTTAGCTGAGCTGACCCATCCGCCCCTTCCCCGTGGGCTCCCAGAATGAGACACTAATGGGAAACATCTGCTCAGAGCGCTCGGGCTCTGGCCCTTCCTGCAGGTTGGCTTTGAGGGGGTGTGTTCAGTATTGAAGGGGATTAGACCTGATGATTCACTGTTGGTGCAGCGCCCCGGGGCTCGGCATATTTCTCTGCAGTAGTAACGAGTTTGGGCCACGTGTTTTTCACTCTCGTTCTTGTAACTGCTCTGAGCTCTCTGCTCTCCACTGACAGCCTCTTTTGTGGGTTTTTCCAGCTGCAGCCGTTGTTATCCCGTGTTTGTCAGCCGTGGTGTCAGGCTATGGTGAGTGTCTTTCCTGCTCTGGGCGGCTGCCCTTGGCCACGTAGTTGACCTTTGTATAGATTTGGCTCAAATACAGAACTAACCTCAAGTTTAGTGATACATCAACAGAAACACTCGTGCCTTAGGTCCACCTCAGATCTGAATGTTGCAGCTGGCTGCTGCTTGGCTTTACAGAGGCCTCTTCCCCCCAGAACGCATTGACGAGGGAAGCAGAAATGCCACGTGTTGCTGCAAACCACTACTCCACGTTGTACATACGTGACCCTGAAGCAGTAACCAGCCCTGCAGGAGGGAGGCTGAAGCCCAGCAGAGTCCTTGCCCATCCCTTGTGTGCTGCCCCTTTTCAGCACAGCCACAGCCCAGGACTGCAGTTACCTCTGACCGCAAACGGCTGTGCCACACTGGAGGTGCTGCAGCCTTCAGCCCCTTCCTGCCTATGAACGTCCTTCTCAGGAGGGAAGCTAAGCGGGACTGCTGGGAGAGGAAGATGATATCCTGACCCTGGGAAATGCAGAAACACCCCACAAGGGAGCATCAGAAGGAACACCCCAAACTGACTTGTACCTGTTTCTGAAACTGTCAGCACTCCAGATGGAGAGTTTCAGAGCAAACAAACAGCAATGAGCTGTTCAGAGCAAACATCCGTCTGTATCACACACCAGTTTCGTACTGTGTAATGGGGCTTGTTCCACTGCGATGGGGAAACCTGAAGCAACCTTCTCTCTGGTGACAATTAAAAAGATGGGAAACAGTGGGTGAAGAATTAATATCGTGGGCAAAGGCCACGAACAGTACTGAGCTGGGAACGGCTGGGTTCTCTGAAGGAAACACCAGCTAGCACTGCCAGCAGTAAAATAATTCCTTCTTGATTTCTTAGAAGAGACCTTCTAAGGAACTTTCTAAACCTTCAGAAACCGTTTGGTTGTGTGGCACGGGTTGCTACGTAACCTTGTAAAGCAGAGGTAGCTGTGTTGCCAGCTGTGCATGACACAGTTTGCTCTTTAGCTTTGGTTCAGCTGGGTGCCAGCACTACAGTGCTTGCTGAGGCTCAACAGTAAGGCTTTGCTCATTAATCTCTCTTTGATGTTGCTCTTACTTAACTTGCATCCATGTGTCTATTACACACTTGTGCCTCCTCAGCAAATCTTGGGTACAACATGAAGCTTTTTTTGGTTGTTTTTGTTTGGGAGGTGGGGGGGCTGCAGTGAAGCAGTCATGTTTTATCTTGGTGGAGGGGAAATAAATGCAGCTTGGGCAGTGAGTGTGAAATGAAAGGAGGGGGAGATGCATGTGGGAGGGAAATGCCTCCAGAACAAGCTCCCCCAAGCAAAACTTCTGCCCTGATTAACAGCTCTCTGCTTGCACAGGCTCTGCCAGCCAGAAGGGACGAGTCATGGGGATCCTGAGGAGCCTGGGTGCCCTGGCCAGAGCCCTGGGACCCATCCTGTCAGCTACAGGTGAGTGTGGCCTCGTGCTCCTTCCTGCCTTTGCAACACACAGCGTCACTCTGGGCCCCTACAGCCCAGCTGGGGCGGAAGGGGAACAGCAAGAGAAAGCACAGAAAAGTAAAGAAAGCAAAGAAAGTATCTGAGCCATAAAGTTGTCTTTGCAGAAGTGGGCAGCCCTGAGAGCTGCACCATGGGCAGGACACAGTCCTTGTTAGCACCAACAAAAGCCTCATGGATGAGTTTTAGAAATTCATACAAGCAGAGATAACGAGGCTGGTGAAGGGACTTGAGCACAAGTCCTATGAGGAGAGGCTGAGGGAGCTGGGGTTGTTTAGTCTGGAGAAGAGAAGGCTTAGAGGTGACCTCATCACTCTCTTCAACTACCTGAAGGGAGGTTATAGCCAGGTGGGGGTTGGTCTCTTCTCCCAGGCAACCAACAATAGGACAAGGGGGCATGGGCTCAAGCTCCGCCAGGGGAGGTTTAGGTTAGATGTTAGGAAGAAATTCTTTACAGAGAGGGTAATCAGGCACTGGAACGGCCTGCCCAGAGAGGTGGTGGATTCACCATCCCTGGAGGTTTTTAAAAAGAGATTGGACGTGGCCCTTAGTGCCATGATATAGTAATTGGAGTTGGATCAGGGGTTGGACTTGATGATCTTGGAGGTCTTTTCCAACCCAATCTATTCTATGATTCTATGATTCTATAAACTAGACAGCAGCTATTGCTTGACTCTAACAATTCCAGCAACAGAGTCAAACTAACCAGGCCCCGTGTGCAGCTGCGCTGGCAGAGGAGCACCACAGAGGGCCTGGGCCCAGCAGGCAGAGGGAGCCGGAGGCTGACCAGGAGCCTTTGCTGGGCTCATTTTTTAGCCATTTTAGCAAGTAACTGTCTGCTGAGGGGCCACCCTGGCACCAGTTAAGCGGGAGTCATGGAAATCAAGGTCTCCTGTGCTGTGGAAACTGGCTCCCCACGTCTCATGAAGCTGCATCCCAAGATGATACAAATTAAGTAGGGACAGTCCGTCATGTGCAGCAAAGAACTTTTCAGCATTAAAAGCATCCGTAACCTAGAAACTAGACAGAAGAATCCACACTCAACTAATGCCCCAGAGCTCGGGGAGGTTTGTGCGCAGGGGCCAGGCCTAGACTGTGCCTGAGGAGCACAGATGTCCCCTGCACCGGGGTCAGTTCCCTCAACCCCTTACAGGGTAACGGGACAGAGTAAGAGGAAGCAGCAAGTCAGAGCTTAAACTCGGACCTAATGTCACATTTGAGCAAAGCCAGAGCCTGTTTCCAAGGCTTTGGATTCCCGAGTGTTTCACCTGAGGAGACTGACACCAGCAGTGAGACCTTCAGGAGCAGCACAGATGGCACCAGGAGCAGGTGCTGGGGCACAGTCAGTAGCTGCTTTGTGGCTGAGAATGCCTGAGTGGGACCTTCCCTGGTTCCACACTGGCACCAATGACCGTACCCTGAGACAACCACTCTGGACACGCTGTTTCCTTGGAAGAGAACCAGCACTGCTGTTGGCCGCCTCCTCTTTGTAACGTGTGTGCCAGCAAGGGTGGGCAGTGAAAGGTTCAGTAGTTCTGAGTTCTCCAGTTGCACCAGGAAGTTGTGGAGAGCAGCAGCTTTGAGGGCCAGGTTACAGAGAGGGAAGGACCAGCATACTAATGAGCTACATCTCGTTTCCTTTGCAGTGTACTGGCTGGCAGGGGCAGAGGTTTGCTTCACTGTCTGTGGAGCTTTGTTCCTCATCCCTTTCATTTTACTTGGTTCTATGAAACAGCAGAGGAAGGAGGAGTAGGAAGTAACCACAGAACCATCAGCTTCCCAGGGTCGCTACAAAACCCAACTCTTGGCACCTGACTCTGCTGAGCAAGAGGAAGAGGAGGATTTTGATCTTCTGGAAGGGAACACACAATGACTTCAGGTTTCTTACAGCCCCTCCACAAGCAGTTACATTTCACGCAGCCTCCCAGCAGGCTGGGCTGGTTCTGCAAATGCAGAAAAAACCCCAAACCAAACCCAAACCCCCAAGTACAGCATTGAGAGCATCAGACAGGCAGAGACGAGTGTAAGCACCACAGCACAGCACCATCCCAGTCCACTATCAGGTGCTGTTGAACCCCACGGTGCAGCAGCCACAGAGCTCAGCTCTGCTCTGCTCCTCTCCCTGCCTCAGCAGCACAAGCCAGGTCAGAGCCTCTGCAGAGCCCCTGCAAGGGGCCTGTTGGGTCTGGCTTGGGCTCTAACAGGGACTTTCTCTACAGTTATCAGAGCTCCACCAATGCTCAGCGGACCAGGTAAAAGTTGTTACCAACTGCCTTAAAACACCCTCAGAAAGAAAAGCCAGAAGTGTTCTGCAGGCTTCCTGCGCCTGGCGCTCTGGCACAGGGCACCTGTTTTTTATTAAAAACAATCACATTTTGAAAGATGTTTTATATTTCTAACACTTTGTGATGTTTTTTGATGACCAAACACTGTTCTTTTTGCATTACAAATAAACTGTTACATTGTGCGCTCGTCTAGTCAGCTTATTCCAGCAAAGCTGTGGCATCCCCCCCACACCCGACATGGCCCTGTGGCCCAGCCACCCAGGAGGTGCCCAAGGCACCAACCCCAGCACCCCCAGTGCTGACTGCAGGCAGGGCCAGCTGGCTGGGGGAAGGACCCCTCCACCCAGTTCTGGGACTCTCTAAAGGAAACCCAGCAGTAGCCAATGTGAGTATTTTCTGGGAATACATTAAAGCAATCATTAATCAACACATTAATCATTAAAAGAAAGTAGACCTAATTAAATTGAATGGGCTGCAGCTGTAGAATAAAACCATAAAAGTTTTAAATGAGCAGGAAAAGACTTTTTTTTTTTTTTAAGAGTTTTTATTTGTGAGTAGAACTTAATGATACAAGAAAGAAAAATACAGGACTTTATTCTGCCCCAAAGTGTGTAACCATAGCATACATGACTACATTTCATATTGTAATACAAAGAATTAAAAGAACAAACTACAAAATTAGAAATTAAGAGTCATTGCATATGTGGTCAAGATAAATGGAGGGGACTCCATTAAAGAACTGAAACACAGAGCAATTAGTCAGTTAATTACAACCCTGCAATAAAACACAATTTAGCAAAGTAAGTATCATACGCTGCCTAGTGTGCAGAGGACGTACAAGGTGAAAGGAGAAGCTGGAAGCTGTTGGTGCCATGCAGTCCTGGCTGGACATCGCTGTGCGGGGCCGTGGGCACAGCGCTTCCCTGCTGCCCCTGCTCCACCCGCTCCCCTCACGCGTCTCACAGCGCCGGTCACTGCCTCAACACCTCTCCTCTCCCCGCACGGGAAGCCTCACAGCTCCAGTTCTCCTTCCAGCTGTTTCCCCTTCCTTGCCTGGAGCCAGCCCGAGGTGTCTGCACCCCCCAGCCCCACTCGGGCCTCCGGCAGCGGCCAACCGCTCAGCCCCCCGCGCCCTCGCTGCTTCCTGCTGCGGGAGGGCGAGGCGTTCGTTTGCTGCTATTTTACCAACTGCAATGTTCAGTGTTGTCCTAAAAGGTTACACCCATCTCCTGTTCTGTTACAGACACCGCGAGCCAGGTGTCCTCTCCCACAGAGGGTGTCAGTGTCTGGCTGCTGCTGGCACCAGCAATGCCAACACCAGAACGCAGGGCGGGTGACCCACCTTCCCCGCTTCTGGCTGGGTCATGGCGTACAGTCTGGGGAATTCCTGCAAGCTTCACCTACCTGACCCTGAACTGCTTTTACGGTCAGTGGCAGACAGAAGCCTGGCAACAACTGCAAAATGGTGAATTCAGTCGTGAAAGTTTCAATTTATTTTTTTTTTTTTACCATGCTACATATTGAACCAACACTTACAGCAAACTGAAAATACACCTTTAAGGTTACTTGGGATTTCTGTACTTTACTGCTGGCAACAACAACAAAAATATTAAAGAAATGCCAGTTTTTGTAAGTGAAAATAATTAATATTTTAAAAAAAGTTAAATACTCAGTGTAACGCATTTACATTTTTCTCATGGGAAGGAACAAACACAAAAGGCCGCCAATAGGGTTTGTGTGCAACGGGTTTGCCCTGCACCCAGGGGATTTACAGTCCCCCTGTGCAAAGGCCCAAACCACAACTGCCCCCGCTCCACACCTCCAGCTGCCCAACTGCTGAAATGCTTTTAATGCAGGTACTGTTTAACCTTCCCTCACAGCCCAACTACCCCATGGCTGATTCTTCTGGGGGCCAGACTGGGACAGGTTTCTCTTACTCTGTAATTCACTAGAAGGCGGGGGGGCGGGGAGAGCAAAAAAACAACAAAAAAAGGAAGATTGGGCTGAAAACACAGAACATGAGTGGAACACACCACAGTTATTTCAGTCCTAGACATCAAAGATGACTTCAAGTGCCAGTTATAAAATAAAACAAAGTGGAAAACACCTTCATTTTGTTACAATAGTCAGAGGGGAGAAAGAGAGGAAGGATCGGATAGCCTCAGAGCTCGACTAAAACATCATCAGAAATCGCAAGCTTGCCGAAGTTTAGGTGTCAGTTCAAGAACACATTCCCCTTGGGATCACCACTGCAACAGCATCCTCTCTAAAAGTCACTATTTAAGAAGAAATTTACTTGTGACTTGGAACAGAATACTGGAAAAGAACAGTTCCTGTGGTAAGCAATGTGTGGTTTATTTTTAATTGTGATTTTTTTTTTTTAATTCTTTTGTGAAGCAGTGCAGGCTTTAAATTAAAAATAGGGGTTCGATGCCTTCCACATGGAAGTCATTTACACTTGATTACAAATTAGGGATCAGATCTGTGGCAGCTGCTGGAAACACCAGATTAGCACCCTTTTGGACATTAGTTTCTGGTTATAACCTTAAAGAATCAAGCCGTCACTGGAGGGGCTGGTTGGATTACTTGCTGCATTCAGTTACGTAATAAGACAAAACACTCAGTACGATCTGGTACATTCTAGTGGTTAATGAATTTTAAAACATGACAGTGTTTCTGCAGTGTGTTTGGCCTTTAGGAGTCACTCTTCTTTTTGCTCTTCTTCAGGAAGGAAGGAGTGCGGAACTTCTTTTTCTTTTTCGATGGGGACTTCCCTGGAGATTCATCACTACCTGCATCAGCTGCCGTCCCCTCCTCAGCCGTTGGCGTTACTGGCTCTTCAGCAGGTTGAGACTGAGGTTCCTTATTTTCCACTGCAGGTGATTCCGTTTGGCTTTTGGGCACATCTTCGTCACATCTCCCTTCCTCCTTTCCTAAGGGAGGGAAGCTGAGTGCTTCTGAAGGCTCATCAGGGGTGAGATCTGGGAGGGTTTGCTTGAAAGTTGCAGCGTCACTGTCATCTTTGTAAGTCTGGTCCTGCTGTGTCTCTAGTGGATGGACAGACAACGACACAGTGAGTTTACACAGAGAAAGCCAAGCACGCTGATGGTGAGTGCTCTCTATAAAAAAAACCAACAACCTAATATATTTACTTTGCATAAAAGCCTTTGTAATAGGTCTGTTCTCCTTTAGCTTAGGGCACAGAGATAGAAATAAGATAGTCACAAGTTTCATTTGGTTTTAAGCTTCTTGCCACAGAACAGATAAAGCTGAATTCTGTCATGTGGGTGTAAAGCTGCAAGAAAGTAACTGTTCAGACTTCTCTCATGTTTTATTTATAACGTTTGCAAGTGGCATGAGATTTCAGCACAGTGGCCAGGAATTAAACCTACAATTTTCATTGGCATTGAAGAGAGCGTCATGAAATTCCTTATCTTGATTCTTTTTTCTTTTGGTGGCATAAAATTAATTGCTGGTTTGCAGTGATCAGATACATGCAAATCCATTAATTGCCAAACTGTTGACCTGCCAATTTTTAAACACAACACTTGCATTATCATAGTATTCCTCCATGAGATCTAACACCCGATTCCCTATCACAAAGGCTTCACTTCTTTTGCAAGATATATTATGGACTCTATAAAGTTAAATCCAAGTAGTTTATCAAATTAAATGAGCTCAGCAGGTTATGCCATTCAGCTTTTTTAAAAAATATATATTTAAAACAGCAAAACTCACCCCTGTATAAAGGAACATCAAAAATTTAGTGGTAACATTATGTCCAAGGGTGAACTTTACCACTGCTCCCTCAACTGAAACACTTTCCTCATTCACCACTATGCTTTAGAGATGTTCTGTTTCAGGCTCCTCTTTGTGCATATATATATATATATATTTAACAACAAGCACTTTTTGAAGTTCCCCACAATGTTCATCACTGCACTGCAGCCGAGAAGATCTCGTTAGCTGTGTCAAATATAACCCCATTGATGTTATGTAAGGGGGAATTTAGCACAAAATCCAGGCCACAGTCATTGTACGGCTCAAAAGAAAGGCAACTATTTTTTCTCCCTTTTAAGATCTTGTTCATTTTAATTTGAAAAGACTGAAGGCTTTCACAAGAATTTACAGAAAATACTTGATCCTTTCCCATTTTTCCTACAGAAATGACAATGCCTGTTCTTTTTACTTCTGCCAGATGGGATTAATAATCCTCTAACACATCGTAGAGGGCTCTGTTCTGCGGATACCTGCTAGAAAACCCAACATGTTTTGCCCAGAGCACCATGAACTTCTAATAGGTTAAAAACACAAACCACACCAGTATTCAGTGCCAAACACTCGGAATATGCATGTTAGCGGTTTAAAAGCTATAGCAGGCAGGATTTAAAAAAGAGAAAGCGATTATGTACATTACAAGCTGCCTCCTGAAGCTCTAGTTTAACCCGTGTATGTGTGTTACACACAACTGTGTAAGAAGCACCACCTACAACTCCTCACTACCACGACACTCTCTTTGGATTTCATTTTACTTCTCAGGAATGATGTGAATTATTATCTCTTCTCCCTGGGATCCAGGGGTAGGACACATGGGAATGGGTCAAAGCTGCACCAGGGGAGGTTCAGACTGGACACCAGGAAGCATTTCTTTACCAAGAGGGAGGTTGATGCCCCAGGCCTGTCAGTGTTTAAGAGGCATTTGGACAACACCCTTAATTACACGCTTTAACTTTTGCTCAGCCCTCAGCTGGTCAGGCACTGGGACTAGATGGCCCCGTAGGTCTCTTCCAACTGAAAATATTCTATTTTATTCATCAGATGGCCCAATTTTTAGAACAGGCATCATATTAACATTGTCAGTCAGTTTTATTTTATCTTTTTCACAGAAGTTTAAATGAAAGCTTTAAAAAAAGGATTGGAATTTCTTAAAATTAAAGAATAGGGAGCTATAGGCATTCAAACAGTATTTGCCGGTTGGCCTAAGCATTGGATAAACAGTTTAATAACTCATTAATCCAGGACTGCTACCCTTCCCAGTTTGTCAAATTACCATCATCTCTACTAAATGGATTAATATGCTGGAATCAAACAAGCATCTGTTTATCCAGCCCGCTAAGAGCATTATTTTACCAGAATTAGAGAGATTTACAAATTCCACATTCAATAAAGAAAGCAGACAATATGTAAACGCCTTGATATTCGACTTGATGGATTTCAGTAATGCAATGAGGAAGGTTTAAAAATACATCTTGCTGCAAAACCTACTTACAGTTTAAGAGCTCAGCAGTACCTCAACATTTTTAAAGTTTTTTAGAATAATCATGCCTACGTCCATGCTCTCCCTTTATATATACTGTGGCATAAGAGTTTGAAAAGTAACATTAATACTGGTGTGTGTTTACAATTCACATTATTTATGAAGATAGAGGTTTGTTTTGTTTTTTTTTTCTTCTCAACACAAACATGTGGACAAACATACAAACTAGGCTATAACTGAGTTAACACAAAACACTTCTCTGCCTTCAGCTACTCTTAAATAGAAACAAGATGAGGAGAAAAAGGTTGAGAAGCGTCTGTCCACAGAGAACATTGTCATTCAACAGAACTCCTGCCAACCAAAGTTGTCACGGCATGAACTTCCAATTACTCTCCAAAATAAGCTTTGTATGTTTGTCCTGGAAAAAACTTACACAACCAGAAGAGTTTGTGGAACACAATCCTCAGTTTAAAAAAAATTGTCAGGTTTTAGAACTTTCTTAGTAACATCACGGTTGTCTACAATGTAGTTTGGCTTTCCTGCCTCTGACAAACACTCTGACTTTCGGGTATAACAGGACATACAAATGGAGGGGGCCAAACATCCCTATTGCTTTAAACCATAATCTGATGTAGCCCTGCAGATGTAGCCAAAACAGCTGTAGAAGTTGCTGCTATTCCTTGGTTGGAATGTGAATTTCCCTACGGCTGACATATATAACACAGGAATAGTTCCATATCTACTTCTGTGCAGAAGTCTGCTGGGTAAGTGTAAATCAATGTCAGTGGAAACACTTCTGCACTGGAATAGATTAGGAACTTTCTTCCATTTCATGACCAGGTCCAAGTTGTGTAGGCAAGAGCCAACTGCTGGGGCAGAAACTCCCAAACCTGTTTCAGCTGTATCTGAAAGACAACTTCAGACTATTCCTTTTTAAACTGAGGAATCAGACACATAGATATGGAAACACATGATGTCACTTTCACAGTCTCTTTCAAAGGGGGAGCGCATTTGAACACAGGATCTGTAACTATCTAGAGTTTAACGAAATCAAAAACTAAAGAAATCAGCATCTCAACTGAAAAAGCCTGCTTTAAAAAAAAAAAAGCAAACCCAACAAAAAAAACCTTAATAAACAAAGAAGCAAGAGTGAAGCAAAGCACATAAGCAGGTCAGAGTATGGAATGATACTTACTATGGTAACAGGTACTCTTTAGCATATCCATCTCCTGTTTGTAACGCAGCCACAAGAAGAAAAAAGCACAAGTAGAGAATCTATGCATTCATCACAGCCATTGTGTTAAGTTAGAAGAATGGTTGCAACCATTCTTAGAGAAAACAGAATGAGATGAAGTAGTGAATGAAAGACTAACAGACAAGTGATATATCCAATGTACAAGGTAAAGGAAACAAGACAAAAATTAGATTACACCTGTTCAAGATTGTTATTTTATCCTTTTTTTGATGAAATTGTAGACTTTACCAGCCCTGGTCTCATTTTAGTTAAAACTACCACATAAGGTGAGCAAATAACAATATTTAAGATTCAAATTGAACTGGAAAAAATATTTACTGAGGTGTAATCCAAGTACAATAATGTTTAAGAAATGTGCAGTCAGTGAAGGAGATTTACTAAAGCATATGAATTTGTGCCTGATTCACCATCAGACACTATTTCATTTCATCAGAGCAATTATTTCTTGCAGAAAACGTAAAATAGGGTAAGTCAGTTGAGAAATACCAAGAGATGACAAGGCAGTTCTGAAGAGACAAAAATTTGTCTTTCTGTTAATGCACACTTCTTTATTATTGTAAACATTAACTCCTATTACACTCATAATTCGGTGTCATATATTTTAGGTAGTATAAAAATAAAATACAAGAAATAATTTACCTTTATTAGATACTAGTTCATATATTTCATGCGTCATTCACTAATGATGCAGTTACTGGTTTCCCCTGGCCCCCAAATCAGAAGAACATACCTTCCTCTATTTTAATCGGCGTACTGGGAGGAGTGCGAGCTGAAGTGTGATCAGGGGGACTTCTCTCCTTCTGTTGCCTGCCATCTTCTGAAGGCTCTGCAGATGTCAAGGAAGAGAAATTAAAAAGACAGACAAGACCTTTCAGCACATGAGAAAACGAAAGTGTCCTTTTGCTCCATACACACAAGGTAAGAATGCATTTTACTGAATCAAATTTCTTCCAGGTTATTAAATAATACCAAAACAAGCAAAAGAAAATTAAGTGATAGTTTGATATTAATAAAACTGTTGAAGTCACAGTTGAGCTCTGCGGTGGTGGGTTTTTTTTTTCTGGTAAGAGGACACAAATAATGTAATTGTTTATGAATTGGTTTTTGCATTGTTCTAAAGAAAACTTGTGAGGAAAAACCAGAAGGAAGAGATAAGCCAATATGGGGCAGGGGCAATGCCATCAAACCTACATACGATAACGCTCTTTTGCTTGCTTCGTATTGCTGAAAGTCAGAGTAAACAAAATCCCAAAGGAAAAGGCAACTGCACAGATAATCAGAGAAACATGCAGTAATTAAATGATTCAAAACAGATTTCACAGTGGTTTGCGTTATTTATTATTAGTAAAGAGGGTCCCCCTTGCTTTCAGGTTTAAACAGCCCTAGATCCAAAGGAAAACGTTAATAGAGTACACCCTGTATCAGGAACAACAGTAAAACATTGTTCCATACAGGTCACCTAGTCAATTAAAAGTGAAATCAATCCCACAGGTGAAAGTCAACTGACAGAATCTCCACACGGCGTAGGTAAAGAGGTTGTTCCTTAGATTGCAAACCCAACTGTACCACATCAGTAATACCTGAGGCCTCAGCCAAAAGGTCAGGATTGGACCTTAATGCTCTGATCACTGCAGTATGAAATTCCTCGTGGGAGGACTTCTGCCCATCTGGCTCTTCTCGGTTAAGATGTGTGATGACCTGCTGCGTGGTCTGACAAGAAACCCATGCAGCAGCAAACCGAATGTTATCTAAAGATTTAGACAGTGATGATACGTCACGATCCTGCAAAGTCTTCTTATCTGTTCCTTGAAAGGTTTTTGATCCGCCTTTCAAATCCAGACATTTTTTATCTGACGTATTTTGCTCACTGATGGTCTGACTTTTAAGCAATGTACTCTGTTCCCCAGCTGGTGTCTGTCTCAGTAACACAGTCTCTCCACATTTTGATATTTTATCTGAGAAGGATGTAGCAATGTTACTGAGAGAATAAATGTATGCAGTAATACAGGCATAACAGCAGAGTATCCCATCCCACACAGTCCAGTACTTGAGGAATTGAACACATTCAATCTACAATGGCTCCTACATTGTCTTATCAAAAAGCAGAAGCAGGGAGCACACAGTGCAAAAGAAATGCCACTTCTGGTTCCCACATCATTCAAATTCAAAACCTAACAACAGATGAGCCCTAACTATCACCCCTTAAAACCATACAGAAGTAAAGCAGGCTAACCACTTCACATGCAGCAACCACCTCTTCTTACAGCACAATTCTCTGATAACTCAGGAAGTCTGTCTGGGAGAAGACCCATTTCCAAGCAGCAGTCAAATATTGTTCTGCATCTCCCTCATTCAGCAGATTTCTCAAATCCACAATTTTCAATGAGTTAGAAAACTGCAGTTTTGCTGGTAAAAAGGCAGCACCATTCTCTCACCCTAGACTACCTCTAGTGCTAAGGGAAACAAAGTGGAACAATCTGCAATACTGTGCAGTACCTAAACCTTTTTTTGACTGAAGTTTCAAGCTTTCAGCTTCCTCATAGCAGCAGTAACTGGCCATAATAAACACCCCAGTTTGTCTGCTAGGATAATTTTAAAATGAGATCTATGGATTTTACAGAATACTCCATTATCACTTAGATCCCACATTCTATCTCCAATATGCTTTTTCAATTTCTAATGCACACTGAATAATTTACCCACGGCCTTTGCAGGTAACCTACCTTCCAATTAGTAATAAACTTGCTGTTATTACAATCTACTGCAGAAAAAACACACACAGAGAAACCCACCATCTGGTCCCTTCTGCTTTCTTTCTACTTCTTTGCGATATTCTTCCAGTTCTCGATCAGTGAGTTTATTGAAGGGATTTGGTCCTGTTGTGCTCACTATGACTTTGGGTTGATATTCTTTCTCAATTATTGCCTTTGATGCAGTCACCAGTTCTCCCTGAAAAAAGAAAATTAAGATACATCTGCAATTAAGCAGTAACTTGCAGAACCTGGAGAAGTACAGAGGCTACAAAGCAACTAAAAACAAAACAAAAAGATAGTCTGAAAAATGTTACATTTTCTTTTAGATTAAAAAAATTATAGAAATTAGAAAGAAATAATAATTGACAGCAGGTTAATATAAAGGAGAAAACAGGTCTCATTGATTACTCCTACAGACACATCAGTGTTTCCACCAGGGAATATCCACCATTAAGCAGTAAATCAAACAGCAGCCAAACAGTCTAGCTGAATTCACAAAAATCTGAAGTCATAAAAGTATCAAGTTTCTTTTTCTTCCCACAAAAGAAACAGGACACCAGGCCCAACTGCAGGGCAATCTGGACACAGAACGCCTGGAGAAGTTCACAGGACTCAGCTCACAGGTATTTTTGTTTGTGGTTTGTTTTGACTTTTTTTTTTTTTCTTTTTTTAATAAGGGAAAAACCATTTCTAGTAGCTACTTCTAGTATCATCTAACAGATGGTATATAGTAAAAAGCCATCTTCTATGTGCTCTGTATATACCAGATTAACAGCTGATTACAAGCAATTTTTAAGTAATTAAGGTTAAATGTATTCTTATACAAATTAGCATATTTACATCTATAACATTTGTCATACAAGCCAGATAAAAAGTTATACAAATAAAAATAAAACATTAGCGCTTCTGAGCACAGTAAGTTCCAATGGACAAAAGCAGCTGCATCAGAGATTTTCTAACGCTAATGTGTTTAGTTTTTCTTCTCTAATCATACAGTAAAGACTAAAGCCACGGGCTTTTAGTTGTCTGAGACAGAGAAGATGCTTGCCTGGACAGCTGCAGTGTCTTTCAAGTGAGTTTAAGCATTTGATTTTTTTCACTGGATATACAGAACTCCACTGACACTAGTTTGGAAATGACTGACGTGTGGTCTGTGCCTCGTGTCATTGTGATACCTGAATTGTCTTCACTGTTGAAAAGAGATATTTGAATTCCATTACCAGATAAAGAAGGGTTATTGATTGTCCCGAGTCATCTTCATATTCAAATGTTATTTGTGCCAATATTTAAAAGACAACATTAGAAAGCACAGTTCAAAAAATAAATAGCACCCAAACAAAGAGACAAACATTTCACTCCATGTCTGTATTTGACAGACAAGCATGAGACCTTCACTGTAAAACTGAAGTTTTGGATGCTAAGAGCTGCTTTGGACGAGCTGTCAGCACCAAAAGGGTGACAAGACAGGAATGTCCAGATGGAATGAGCACAAGAGCAGTTAGATATTTCTGAAAGCCTCATGAGAGATCTCCAGAAATCTGGTCTTGAGCAATCCAGGGAGGTAAGAACAGCTGGTTGTTAGAACCTATGCTGCTCTTCAGGAAGCAAACCAAGCAGAACTCAAGAACAAACAGTGAAACAAGTCTCCACTGCAAGATCCTGAAAGGAACTGCAGGAGAGAAACATCTCCAAAACAGATGATTACAGATCACCTCTGTTTCTCCATAAAGAAGAACTCTCGTCTCGGATGCAGACTGTCAGCAGAACTTTAAAAGCCTTTTCTCAACTATTTCCATTAAGCACCAGCTGTCTTAATACCAGAAAACCTCTGATCTGATAGTCACTGCTTTTCTTACAGGATAATGCACTTAAAAAGTCACAAAAACATCAACCTTTGTAAAAGTCCCAATTGTTTTGTAGAAAACGTAAAACACCCCCAAGGCTACAGGTCCCAGCTTTTAACAATGACAGAAAATTGGTGCCCATGGCAATTTTGAAGTTCCCTCTCTATCTCTGCCCACCTTTCAAACTAAATACGTAGTTTTAACTGAAACTCAGTAATAAGTAGCAAGGGCTTGTAAAGCACTGACCTCAGGCAGAGTTTCCAGAGTTTTCTAGGATTACAAAAGTCAACAGAGGAACAAGAAAGATACCAGTGCACACTGGTATCCCTGGAATGTTTAAGTGTCTTTGAATTTGTCTGCAAGTAAAACCCAAAATGACTTGGGTAGAACAACTTTCACATGAAACGAAATTTTACGGAATGCCTATTGATTTAATAATGACAAACAGCGAGACATGCAGTTTGCAGCAAGATGACTAGTGCTCTGGCACTGTGTGTTCTCCTCCTTAAGAAAGCACCTTCGTTAACTACTGGCAATAAAAGCAGCACAATAAACTTATCACATTTATGAAATTTAAAAAATGACAAAGAAATGAAAACCAAACACATACAACCACCACACCCACAATCAGTGCAAACAGTACTAGCCGAGAATCTTTAACCCAAGAGAAATAACACTGAAAGAGATCAGAGGCAGTGACAGTAAGCAGATTATGTATTACGAAGAAAAAGCACTTGTGTTTTTGGGCTGTAAAAGCAGGAGAATTACACGACAGACCATGAAGGCAAACTTTTGATCTGCTAAAAGCTGTTTCCAGATTAACAGATCCAGTTCTGTTCAGTATCAATAATATGGAAGCAGTTCAGAGGCTACTAATGAAAATTACAACAGTAAAGGGACTGATTCTATGGGGAAAATAAATTACAGTAGTATGTTACCAAGTTCTGCAACGTGATGTATTATTTCACAGAGCAGCCTGCCAAGAATTCAAATAAAAATATGCAACACAAAATGAAGATGAGACAGAAGAAAAAGGAAAATAAAGGACTAAAAAGGAGATATTTTATATTGGTGAGTGTGACACCGAAATAGACAAGACTTTGCAGAGTTATCAACCTGTTGGGCCATTCAGAGATCCCTATGAACATTCAAAAACTGAACAAGAAAACCGGTCTAGAGTTGCTTCCAGTATTAGGCAGCCTGTACAGAGGGAATAAATTCCTATATAAAAGACTGGCACTCTGCTTCAACACAGGACAACATGCAAAAAACTAATGTTCTAGTCATTTCATCTGGATTATGCTGATACTAATGATGATTTTGATGATTCTAGTACTATTTGGATGACTATTTGAAGTTTGATTGCATGTATAAGCACCTGAATATCAACAGCATTTTCTCCACTGTAGGAAATAATGGATAGACTACATTAATGAACAGAATCTATCTTCACTCCTGAGAATTTTGTAGGGGCATGCTCTCCCACAGAGATCCAACAAAGGGAAAGACATTTATAGCTAACAATACACAATATACCTCCATCCTAAACTTGGACCTCACATATCCTACGAGGAAATTTTACATTATCAAGTTATTTTGCAACTTCTCCACCAAATCTTGCTTTCAGAGAAAAATTCAAAACTGCTGTGGGGTGACCATTATTTAACAGGCAAGCACTTAATCTTGTTCTCAGACATAGGTATGAGCAAAACCAGCACCTTACATGTGCCAATTCCTCTCTCAATTGGAGAGCAGGTGTCCATAATAATTTTCTAAAGTTAACAATCCCTCTTAGCACAATCTGGCATTAATGCAGTGCCTTTATCCCAAAAAACAAGATTCTTTAAGTGCTGTTCGTGTAGTCGCCACCATTAAAACACAGTGCCACCTCTGTGCCAGAACTGAGAGGATCTTCATGAAGAAAAAAAACAGATTGTAGAAGGGTCATTGGTAAGAATCACCAACATTCCCTCTCGTTCAGCCAAGACCGCAGCAGAAGCTGGGTTAACCAAGTCTGTAACATGAATAAAATTACGTGATGCAGAAGGAGCTTGTGTTGCAACATGGCCAGGACTTCTCAGAACATGGACAAAGCAAGTGACAAGGCAAAATGGAGTATTTATTACTGCAGCCATAGGCACGGAAGACTCAAAGCATTACATGCAAACTGTACACAAACAGCACTGTTTTCACCCAAAACAGCGTGCGCTGGTATTTGTTATAAATCTCAATGTTAACTGAAACATAATACATTTTAAACACTACAGCAATCACATGGAACTTCTTATTCTAACCGAGTGTCAAAGAATTTGTCAACTGAGAACTTCCAATTAACTGGTACCTAGAAGTCCTTAAATCCTTGAAGTACAGGTCTCCTCCAAGTTTCATTCAAAGTTTTATGTGAGGTTTATGTGGGCATCATAACACTGCTTATACTTCCTTTATTCTACAATATATGACTTTTTTGGCATAGTATTTCTAGAAAATTTCTCTGGTGGGGTTTCTTTGTTATTGTTGGTTGGTTCACTGGGTTTTTTGTAAGGTTTTTTTGTTGGGGGGGTTTTTTTTGGAGGGGGGTTTGTTTGGGGAGTTTTTGATTTTGTTTCTTTCCCCCCAGTAGGAAATTATTAGGTATTCAGGTCACAATCCATATTAAGATAATAAATATTCTGAAATAGGCCACTTGTACTGTAATTAATGTTGTGATCTAATTTTACACAGTATCTCAGGAGGACAGCACTTTCATGACACCACAAAAAGGAAGCACATCATTTGGACATCTAAACTCTAACATTATACTACTAGGCAGTATCATACAACCAATAGACCTTTTGTTGGCTTCTTGCCACCTACAAAAATCCATGTAAAATATTTGACTAGTTTTATAGAAAGGTGATGCCATTGTTCAAAAATAGTACCTGAAAGGTATCTTGTGCATCACTGATGAAAGAAATCACCTGTGTTGTGATAACTAATGGATGACTATCAAAAATCATTTTTCACTTCGAAGTATTATTAAGCAGAGAATTAAAGGCATGCACTGCCTGGAAGAATTTGGCTTTGGTTTATTTTTCATTTTAAATTTGGAAATAGTGTTTTATTATTTTTCCTTTCAGAATATGGATAAAACAAACCGTAATCTCAAAAACATCATTATCAAACTCTCAGTATGATACAACTATCTTTAATGCAAATTGGTTCATTACACTAGAAAGTGTTATAAAGTCATGAGATTTGCAACAACGATGTAATCCAAAGTATTCTGTTTTTTAACGTGAAAGCTATTTTGATAATGAGATGTCAGGCATCACCTAAAGCAAGATTTAAGAATCTTTTAGACAAAATAGTGGAGCAGAAGAGACACCAATGCTTATTTACACACTGTGCTTCCATTTTCGATCACCTCTAAGAAACTCCTTCAAAACCTGGGAGAGAAAGACAGCTAAGGACAGATTGTTTCCCATGTGCAAACTGTTCCTGTTTCCTCAGCCACAAAGGACCTCCCACCTCAACCATACACACATCTCTTGAATTTACTCCATATTTAAAGTGTATTATGTAAGCAAAAGCATGATTACATTTTTGAAAGCAAATCGATTTTGGAAGTGTGGGGCATTACTCAGCAACTCTTGTAGATAACTGCAGGATGTTTTAAGGAAACAAGATGTCTAGCGATGCAGGATCAAAAGTTGACAGCGTCTGTCAGCATGATACACTCTGAACACGTGGATATCTTTGGAATTACACTGATGTAATCAGGCTGAGATTAAACTAACTCACAATGGATCTCAAATTAGAGTAATTCAACACTAACAGCATGCACAAAGACACCCACTATATGCAGAACCTAGTCAGCATCTTAACATCAAAAGTGTTTCCTCATCAGCTTCTACAAAGAAAAAGATAAAAATCCTGAAAAGATACTTTAACAGGGTAAAGTAACTGCTCATATATTTGCATACACATAATTTGGAGATCCATCTTTTTTTTGTTGTTGTTGCTGTTTTCTAGCCAAATCATTAGCTAACAGAGGGAAAAGGTCGGGGTAAGGAAGAGGTAAAATGAAGGGTGAACAACAGTATTGAGAGCAGTATGACAGGGCAGTACCTTTCTAAAAGACAGAGATTTAGCAGGACTAAAGGCCTGCTCTGTGGGATCGAGCCCTTCAATAGATTCCGTACAGTCTGACAGGGGAGCATCCTGCAACAGTAAATTGAGTAAACAGAGCAAACCGAGCCCAGGCTTTAAAACATCAACCAAAAGCATTATGATGCTTGCTAAAACATGCAAAGAAACAGTAACTGGTAGATAAAATTGCAAATGACAATGACTTGACATGCACACAATATGACACCCAACATGAATAATGCTATGGTCATGGTAAGACTTGCCAAACTTTTTAAAGTATATCAGAAAATACTTATCTGGGGCACTTAAAGCACTCAGATATTTAAAATAATTCAGCTATACAGTATAACTGTATAGCTCTAATTCTTACTTGACTTTGAGCTATGATTCATAGATAAATTCTTTTGTATATCCAGATATACTGCTTTTAAGTTTTATTGATGTATAATAGCTTTTTTCCCCAAACTGCTCTTCAAATAAAGTATGAAGCACGATAAAACACATTTAACACGCAACACTACCACCCCATAGTGAGCCTGCTATGCCCAATATTAATACTTCAAGATACATAAACTCAGAAAACAAACAAACAAAAAGTTGTCACAAAGCCCAACTAGTTTTCAACAAGAATCTAACCCATATAAATAAGCTTTCTGAATTTCATGCATTACATTCAGCAAAAAAAAAAAAAAACAACCAAAAAGCATCCCCCCCAGACATGCTTGGGCTACATAGCTGAAGCCTCTTAAATTTCTGACCCTGAGCACTCTTGCAAAGACAATGGTGTTACCTCTAAGACTTACCTTATAAACAGTTACTCTCTGCCAATTAAAGAATAATTTTATAGTGATATATTAGGTGAAAGCAGAGGACATCGTAGATTAAATTTAAGCTAATAGCTTTAGACATTTTATAGTCTCACCTGTACAAGACTCCTGTCCACAACTACCCCAGAAAGAACCTGCGACTGAGGGCCTGCGGTTTTAATATCTTGCAAGTTTTGCTCTCGGATCTGTGAAGAAAAACAACAGAACACAGTCACACGAACAACAGAGAGAAGTTAACTACATTCCTGTATTTGAAAAAGGGGTGGGTGAACCTGCCAACAGGCTGCAACTAGTGTCAACTGCTATGGCCCTGTGCTTATAAACAGCACTTGAAGGATGCGAAGCACACAATCAGGTTCCTAATTGTTTCCTCACGTTTCTCAGAAATTAGTCCTTTAAGTACCATGGCAGGTACTGTCCTTTGCTTTTTAGTACTGGCTCACGGTAAAACTCTACAGATCAGGTAACAGACAAGTCCAGCTTATGAAGAAGGGTGAAGAGAGAAGCACAGAGGTCACATTTATATAAGTCTGATGTGCCTAGCCAGTCATTCACAGGTTTCTGTCACTAGTCTCTAGTCACTGATAGTGCACCCCAATATAATCTTCCTACAGAACGTACTATAAAACACTGCATAACATTCAATTTTTGCACCTAGTCAGGACTGTATTCACAAAAGGGCGTATAAATATTTTTCTATGCCTAAATTGACACTCCAGAGTACTCCAACACATCCCTTTTGTTGCATCCTGAATGCCTCTCAGTTCTTTTCATACAGAAGATGGGAAGAGAAACTGGATCTTTAAATCTAGTTATTATCTATTTAAATTAGATATCCTATAGTGGTAAAGAATTCACAACTGACCCAAAACTTATTTCTAAAATATTCTGGTTCCAAGATAAATGAAGAAAAGCACGCATCCAGAAAGCCTCTACTTTACAATTAAAAAGGACATTCAATTTATATAAAAATACATGCATACAAGTATGCAAATACAAGGTATTATTGATACTTGGTACTTCAGAAAACATGAAGATCCTGCATTATCTATACTTTTTTCTAGTCTATTACCCTTCTCGTCATCAGGAAAGGAAAAAGTTTGAAGTTTTAATTCTCTCCTCTTTGTCGCATCCTTCAAGTTTATAATGAAATGATATTTATGTTTCAAACACCAAGAAACTGCTTGCCAATTTCACCAGATTTTCATTGCAAGCGATTACTATTTTACAGTGTCAGGTCAGGAAAAGCAAAAGTTCTGTCAAGCATACACAAATTATGTTAGAACAAATCAGTACTCCTGCTAGTACCCCTGCACACAGCATTTCCTGTGACATAATGCTAACTCCCATGTTCCATATGGCCATCAGTTAGAAGCAGCAAAACAATCCAGAACAAGTTAAGTATTAACAAGGTACCAGTGATTATTTTATATTTTAAAAGAAACAAAGTGAAAAAACTCCAATGCATTCAATGCTTTCCTGTTGGTAGACTGGTGACAAGAAAATCTGAAATTTGAAGACTGGAAAATTAACTACTAGGTCATTTCAAAAAAATTAACATGCAGTTCCAAGGGCCCCCAAAAATGTCTGCAACAATCACAGCATATTATAATATAATAAAATATAATATAGAGCAAGACTCATAGACTTTGTCTAGGCTACAATTTCAAATGGTGAATCCAAAACAGGAAAACAGGTCACTAATGTAAAGCCATGATCTCAGGGAACAGAATTACTACCATAAACTCGGTGGTGGCTGTTTCAGAGGTATTCAGCAACTGGTCTGACAGTAACAAAACATAAGACAAAGTCTTCACACAGCGGACAGTAATACCATCTTTTTCCAAGATGAGTTCAGAACTTTTACAAATTGTTTCAGTATCTAGTTACAAAGGGGCAGGACAATACCAGAGCTGTGTTACCGAATCTCAAAAATTATACTATAGCAAAGTAAGTTAGCTCATTCAAAGTACACAACTTAATTGTAGAGATGATTAAAAAAAGTTATTTTACTGCTGTTACAAACCTTGTTCCTCATTTCTTGGACCTCCTTTGGATTGGTGTTCAACGGAACAAACAGGTTAGGGACAGCAGAGGTGGCAGTTCTATGTCCATCCTCTTTAGTCCACTGTAATACCAAGAACAGTTGAACAGTCAGAATTGCTGTAATGGCTGTGGACACTCAGAGCAGCAAATTCACAGAACAGTTGGTCATGCATTATACATAGCAGAGAACTGAACCAATGATTGTATCCTTCTATTCATTCCTACAACAATTTAAGTTGCTTCCTTCTTCAGTAATATAAACTGTACCTTCAGATACTTTCCTAAATAGCGGAATCATTCTATCAAGTCAAGCCAGTAACAACAAAAACCAGAGAGCCAGCTGACTTGTAAATAACTTCCATCCAAAACAATGCAATTACTACAGCTACGTGCAATTTGGAGATTATGGAGACTGAAAGGTTTTTAAGCTGTTCTTCTGTGCACTTGACCACACTGACAACTGCAGTGTTCCGTGTTTCTAAAAACAGTCTGCTGCTCACTTTATGAAGAGACAAAATAATACCGGAGTAGGAAAACTCCAATATAATTACTTATTTTAAAGGACATTTTTATCAGGAATTTCACAATGAGTTCATATTTGTTTAAAAAGGACACTATGCCTTACCCAAGCAGAAGTACAGCAAGACCTAAGACACAAGCTCTAAAACCCTGTCACTGCCATTTTCATTTTCTGCACTGGGTGTTTTTACAAAGTCGCAAGAGAGACAGAGAGAGAGAGAGAGAGAGAGATCATTGATTCAATCCTCTGATACTCAACAAACACCAAAGCGAACTAAAAGCATAAGATGACAGAAGTATGAAAAGCAATGTGATGTCACTAACCAGGTTTAGTGAATGATTCTGTACTGTGAAGCAAGAGTGGGCATCACCAAAGTTTTGCATTAAAACAAGCTACTTCGGCAAAATATTCTGTTTCCAGAATTAGTTTCTGCACAAATAAACGGCTGTATCAGCACAGCAACCTAGAGGAACAGTTTGGTGATGTCGAGTATTTTATAACTCATAGCTCAAAAGGTTACAAAAATATCCCAAACACAAACTTTAAGCGCTTCATGGGTTCTTCATAGAAGGTTGCTTTATTAGATCAGTGCATTTAGTATGGAGCTCTGTTTAATTTGATGCACAGCTAACTTTTTATCTTGATATGTTTATTATATGTGGTGTCCTAATTTCCAATCATTATGGCATAGAAAATGCACTGAACAGTAAAGCAAACCTATTTATAGAGCAAATGCTATGCAGCTTTTCCTGGGTAACTTTAAGAAACAATAAGATAGCCAGAAACTGTCAAACTTCAAAAAGCAACAGAATTTTAAAATGTTTTGCAACTGTAAAGTAAAAAATGGAATGAACATGGAGCTGTGAAATACTCACTGATGATTATCTTCTCAGATAAAAACTACTCCAGCTTTTTATTAAAGATAGTTTTTAGTCAAAACATGTATAAAAACAACCTCAACATAACAAAGCTACTTTTTCTTTAGGTTAATAACAAGCATTAAAAAAATTAAACACACAAACCTCTTACACTGTATGAAATTTTCTATTGCTTCAGTATATCATTAAACAAGACTAGTTTCTGAGCAGGAATTTTGCTTCAATCTTTCACTGGTAATTTCAAATATAAAACACTACCTACTTCATGAGCTAAGGTCGAAAAGCATAAACTCCTCCAAACATATGCACAGCTTTAAGCTTTCTTCCAATCAAGGCAAAACTTTAGTGGAGTTTAGTAAAGTGTTGATAGTACAAACAGTATGCATATACATTAATTTCTTAAATGAAAAAGAACACCACAAAAATACCACAGAGAGAGAGATATCCTCTGTTTTTTCAGGGCTTTCTACATGTTAACATTATATATCTACATGTTAACATTATATATCTACATGTTAACATTATATATCTTAGTACACACACTGTCTGAGTAATCATTCCATGAAAGTATTCAAAATATAGAGAACTCTGTATTCAGAGGTGCGACAGAGTGTTGTAGGGGGAAATAAGAATGAAGAGGTTTTCTGGAAAAAAAGTAATGTCTATTTTTTTTTTTTCCTTTTCAGGAGTACTAGTTTTATTTTTAAGACTCACCTGTAACCATTCTACTACTATAGATAGTACCACTCCTGAAGTACTACTGAACTACTCTAGTTCAGCTTGAGGTCAACCATTTGTACGTGTGCAAATCCCTGCCTACATTTTAGATGCTCTGTATATGCCCAAGAAAATATCAAAACCAGTTTACACACCAACACCTACTGATGTCCATTTGAAAGCATTTGATACTTTTGCTTTTCAATTAACATATTTCTCTAGTGCAAACTTTACCTGTAAGCAGCATTGATAAACAAAAAGAAAAGCACCGGTTGCAGAATCTATCGATTAGTGCCTGCTGATGGCCTGAGCTGCACTTTAGTCATGCCGCACCCAGCTGGTACTTTAGGAAAGACTTTCCATTTATGGCCATCTACTTACATGCAACACTACATGCAGAAGGCAGCTGGTTGTGAACACTCAGAGGCTTTGGGGTAGACAAAAGCATAGTAAATAGGACAGAAAGAGGAGCTGAGAAACTAGACAAGAAAAACTGCTTAAGGGAAAACAAAAACAAACGCTTTGAAAATCAATTCTTGTACATAGAGAGGGTTGAAGAGCTTGCAAATTAAGTTGGTATATGCAACAGAGGGTAGATATTTGATTATTTTTATAAATACTTGTACAAAAGTACATTGAATAGTTAGTTTCATTTTTGTTTTAGCTGAAAAACTTTCATGCAGATAGAATTAGTAGTTCCCTAACACAGTTGTCCTTAATTATACTATTTAAATGCAGAACCCACTCAGTCAAAACTACGATTCAATCTGTTTAGTCATTAGCTTGAAAAGCCAAAAGAAAACTAGAGGCTCCCGTCTTAAGCAGTTTTAAGCACTAACAAGTGAGATGATTTTTACAGCTCACTGCTAATCAAAGCCAAAGGAAGTGGTTAGTAAAACACATTTAGGGGTTTTTTTATATAAGAAGAAAAGAATCAGGAGAGTAATCTTTTTCTTCCCAAAGCCTCTAAGTGCCAGCCACCCCAAGTCGCTCTACATCATCTAACTATGAACAGTAAGGTAGGCACAGACCAAGCAGTTGGTAATACAGCTTGGCACGCAGACACCGGACGAGAGAGACTGCAGCAAGGGTTTCACGTGATCGTGTGTAATGTTCGTCCACACCTTAGTCTTCGACTTGGGACTGCTGCCATTCTGCCCTTCTTCAGAAGCATCATCCCCTCGGCCAGAGTTCAGCCACCTTGTCTTCTCTCGTTGCTGTTTCTGAAAACTGTGTCTGAGGGGGGAGCAAGTGCCTGATTCACCATCACTAGTGAAGGAGTAACCTGTGACACTAGCTGGAATCTCAACATCGCTGTACTTTTTAGATTTCTCTCGCAGAGCAGGGCATCGATACGGGTAGCCGGTTCTGTAACCCTGAAGAAGCAGAGCAGCAGAATTAATGTTCTACATCTCCAAAGTTTTCAACAGACAAATGAATTTTGGTTTGATCAATACCCTTAATTACGAAAACCATTCTACAACACAGCCTTTTCTTTAACTGCTGGTCACCAGTTACAGTGGGCAAAGACATGTCAAAAGTAGGTGACATACAGTGATGAGGCTACATTAGCATCCTTTCCAATCTAATAAACTTCTGAACCACTAATTTAAATTAGTCACCATTTTTGGTAGATCCAACTTCAAAAACTTTGTATCAAAGTTTTATGAAGAATTTACAGTAGTCCTGCAAAAAGCCATTGAGGTCATCGAGAAGCTCACCAAGAGCAGTGCTACCAGTCTGCCTCTTCTCACATTCAATCAACAAAATTACCACTGTGTAATTCTGTGTTTGATAGATTTAAAATAAATAAATAAATAAATAAATAAATTTCGACTGGACTAGTTTACTCGCCAGATATTCCAGAGTCACTTCTAAAAATAACACAGTACCCATAACTGTCTGTTCATGAAATTATTCTCCTTTCAAAGTCTGCATTTTAAAATGCGGGACTCATGTATGGAAACTTCATCTCCCTTCAGGATGAAAGTGTGTATCCAAATAGGTATTATACCATTAATAAGTGGACAGATCCTTGCCAGCCTGCTTTCAATCAATTTGCAGTGTTATAGTAAGTTACTGGGGACTCTAATTTAGTGCTCTATCAGAAGGTATCATCATAAATTTATGCACTGTGAAATTCTTAAGAATGTACTTTTTTCCAGGAAATTTCTGAACTAAAGTTTTATAAATCATACTTCAGGAAAGTTTTTGACTCTAACACCCAAACCAACAAAGACTGATTTGTCATAACTACACACATGAAAGCGCACGTCTTAGCGATAGCTGCTGGTTAAGTTATCAGTCCTGCCCTCTCTTTGTGACAGTGCTTCGTATGGACAATAGCACACGACTGCACTGCAACAAGGCAAGCTAATCTGAATCTGGAGTACATTTGAAGCACCCCTACTTTGTGGTAAGTCTTCAGAAGCTAGGGGTTTTTTCCCTGGGGCGGGTGTGGGGAAATATATTGGTGTTTCTTGGTATTGAATTTTCAAATAATTGTTCAAGTTTCTGACTGAATCCTGACTTTTCTTTGCACTATATTGCAGATACTAATTTAGACTTTTTTTTTTTTTTTTAACTGCAAATTAAAGGTATTGACTGTCTCTCACAATTCTAAATCACAGAATGGTAGGGATTGGAAGGGACATCAGGAGATCATCTAGTCCAACCCCCCTGCCAAAGCAAGGACATAAAAATGCACCCGTATGACAAAAAAAAAATGTAGGGCTGATAAAAAGATCTCTTCTGCGCTCTAACATCTACAGTTCAACATATTGTATGCAAGGGAAGGCTTCAAGAATGCTACTTTTATGGCTGTATTCTCTCCTCTCCCTGATCTTTTCTACCTATGTTATTTTTCTCTCCTGCTCCTTCTGAATTATATTTTGTTTCCCTTTTCACCTTCCCTAATACACTAGTCATGTTTTCCCCCGCTTTCTTCTGTATTTTGCTCTGCATTTAACATACAAAAAGGACATTTAACAGTTTCTCCAAGAAGTTTCCACCAGCTAACTATTTTCAACGTGGCTCAAACAATAACAGCATGAATAGCCTACCTCCCAAAGGACTCAAACTCTTCACAGATCAAGCTAGTAGTAAAGAAGCTTCAGTACTGAGTATGTGGACTTAGGTTTCTTTGTACAGTTTCCATGCATTAAGCACTGCTGAGGCATTACCTTGGCTGCTCCATCTTTTAATGATCAAAGTGCATCTTGAGTAACTATCAACTGCCTAATGTAGTTAACTATCCAATATAATATGTGGCTATTTGCAATAGTAAGGACTTGTATTGGATGACTAAAAGCTCCTTTCTATTCCTACATTGCTAGCACATAAAATGCTATTTCCTTTGTGATCCTGCTTCTTGTTTGCAGTAACAAAAAGAAAATCGATATTCCCTAGGGAAACTGAAATCCAACTCAACCTACCAAAGGTACCAGTCAGTGATAGCCAACCCATAACCAACTACATTAACAGTCTTACTATTGCTCACTAAAATCAATGAGAATTTTTTTATCTACTTAAGGTTATAACTAATTCAAATTATATATAACTATATTCAAATTACTAATGAAGCAGGCTGTATTTTTTTCTCCATACCACAGATAGGACACTGATCTGAAGGGAAACAATCTCAGTTATTTACTCCCTAGTATATGTGATAGTGTTTTAAGGTATCATCATCAGTGTGGATCCTGTCAGGGGCACATAAATCACATGACCATGAAAGACCACAGTTCAGTCTACAAAGGAAAAAGGTTCATTAAATAGGACAACTATGTCCGATTATTACAGCGACCATATTTTTTCACATGTTCATTACCACTGTCTACAGTCACCAATTGGAGACTTGTGACAGGAAAGTTATCATCTTTCCCATTAAAGCTGGACAGCAAATATTGTTAGCTGGTCATTCATTACAGATGGGATTTTACTGAAACCATTTTATCTGAAGCCCTTCATTTATTTATTTGAAGTCTGTCTTTTGAGCTCTTCTTGGTTCTACCAGAGTCTTACAAAGTCAAATCATGCTGGACCATGCACCTGACAAAACATTAACACTGTTTTATGCATTTTGGGATGGGATGGGAATAGAGGGGAAGACACAGACTAAGGAGTAGCAAGGAGCACCGTACTCGTGTTTAGAAACACCAATGACACAAGGATCCCCTCTCAATCTCACCCATAACTACTAGATTATGAATACAGAAGTAAATGTGCTGTCTGCACAAAAGACACTTGGAGCATACCGTGATGCTTTTCATGTTGTCTCCTCCTCTGAGGGCCCTTAGTCTTTGGAAAAGAACAGGCTGCAGGCTGTATAAACTATCCCAACTACATGCAGCCCATTCTTTACTAACGTCCCTTATTGCAACTTTTAAAGTTATTTTATAAATTAGATAAAAACGTCTGCCTTACCAGATTATCAAGCATTCGCATAAGAGCTTCAAATTCCTGTTCTCCAATCTGCCATTTTGGATGGGATACAGTACCCTCACCTGCTGGAGACTCAGGGGAACGAGACTTGGCTTTATACTTTCCAGGATCTAAAAGCACTAAATTGTCAGGTCCACCTGCACTGGCCAGGGTACGTACCTTAAAAACAATAAAGTCATCTTTTAGTTTCTTGAGGGTGGGGGGAACAAGAAAAACAACAACAACAAAAAAGACATTAGCAAAACAGAAGAAATCTACTTCATTTTAAAGGTAAATAAATTAACATAATTGTATAAAACTTCTCTTACAGCTTTGAAAATATCTCTGTTTTAATAGGCAGTATATATCAAATGGATGGTGCCAATACAGTATTTGAATACTGCTGGCTAAACCAATGTTTTCGATGTCCTTGCATAACATAATGATTTCACATATCACCGTGTTAGTTTAGATCAGTAGTTTAACCAGTAAAGTGTGCAACTGTTAATCTCTTTGAAGGTTAATACAGCAGACTGTATAATTACATAAAACACTAAAATTCTTACTTGAATCTCACAGGCAAGCACTAGATTATGAATATAGTAGAAAGCCTCCTCAACAGTCTCTCCAACTGATACTAGGCCATGGTTTCTGAGAATAAGGACCTAGAGAGACATTGTAAAGAAGTTAACAGCAGTAAGGCAAGTAATTTTCTTGCTCCTGATTAAGGAATATACCTCCCCCACCCACACACATACTTTTATTTAATTCTAGATGTAAATACTGACCTTGCTTTTAGGTCCCAAATTTTTCTGGATAACCACCTTTTCTTCATCATCCACTAAAATACCATGGTAGTCATGATAAGCTACTTCCCCCAGCGAAAGTGCTTCAGGTGAAATTGGCAAGAGACCACACTTCATTGCAGAAACCTGAGAAATATTAAAACAACTAACTAAATTTCTTGCAACAGAAAAAAACCCCTGAAAATACAATAACTATATGAATTACAGTAAACAACATATTTTTATATATTATATGTATGTGTCTGTACAGGCACATACCTCGTGGTCTTATAGCACATCGCTAAAGCCTCTATTTTTTTCACAACTTTTGGATTGGATACAAAGCCACATTGAACTTGGGTCTGACTCAGTATGGTTGCTTTTACATGACATCAACGCCAATATGAAAAGACTCAGAACAAAAAAAAACCAAAACCAAACAACAAACCCCAGAATCAACTGCATCCTTCATTCCTTTCAATCTATTCAGTGATTTCTGAAGAACCTTAGTGACAAACTAAGTCACTAAGTGCACAGCACTGCAGGTACAGTTAAGGAACATTTTTAAAGACTACTCTATAATTCACAATTTTAAGAATCTGATCGTGTATCTCTGCTGTTAATCAGTTAAAAAAAAAAAAAAATCAGAATGTGAACTTTGAAATAGAATCACCAGATGACTCTCTCAAAAAATTCCAAGGAAGTACAAAAACTGGCTTGTAACCAGTTGCTCCAACAAGAGGCATTGGAAAAGTTTCAAATATTTAAGAAAATATTGATAAATTGTGCTTTACAAAACCAACAAAATATGCTAAAGCTCTTATGACTCACTATCAAAATATATGGTCTTTTATAGTAAAGGACACACAAATATGAAATACATATTTTCCGATTATAGAGCACAATTTACTATCTGACCACTCACATTACAACCAAACAAGGAGGATCCGATTGATTCAAACACAACCACATATCTGAAGGCAGACTTAAAGGCTTTGTGCCCTTCAAAAAGGAAGTGAATCTACGATTAAGGGGGACCCACCTATTTCCCAGTTGGGCAGGGGAACAGGACAGATGACAAACTAAAAAGTGTGCTTACCGCTGCCCCTGCTGGCGTATGAATATGAACAATACATTTAACATCAGGTCGAGCTGCGTAAATTGCAGAGTGCAAAGTAAAACCAGCTTGGTTTACTCCCAAGTTAGTGCTTCCACGATCAACTACATCTCCCTGAATATTGATTTTAACCTGAGAACAAAAAGAATTAGTTTCATAAATCAATCAAGACTAACAAACATCTGATTTAATTCAGCATCTGTCACTGAAGCTCTAAAACTGTATTTCTGACAGTATTTGATTTTAACAAGTGTCAAAATGTGCGCTGTAAGGCTGTAGGTAGGTGACCAGGGACCTGGCTTGAGATTAAGCTAACTCAAGAGGACATTAGGAACTACTGGATGACACCAGAAATCACTGCATGCAACAGGTAATGGTGCAAGGAGCTGACAGAAGTTACAGACAGCACTGTGAGAAATGGCTGCCTTTCCCAGAGAGGTATGGTGGGGTTACAGAAGTTTTACAGATACCTGAAGAGGAGTATTGGGACATTTTGGAGAGTAGGTTGTTGAAAGGCCAGCACCTAGGTAACCATATCACTGATGCCTCGTAAGGCTGAGATTGCCCAGGTAGTAATACTAAAAATACTCAATTTGAATATGGATGTAGCAAAACTGAATAAAAGGGGGAAAAGTAATTATACACGGGTCATTTATTTGGGAGCAAGCGAGATCAGAAAAAATGGAGTTTCAAAGTGGAGAAGGGAACTACAAGCATGGGAGGAACAGAGAGAAAGGGGCAATAAAGGGCCAGTTGTATAAGCAGGCTGCTGGTCAGCATGCTCATCTGGCTAAGCTGTGTGCCTTATCACTGCAGTCTATCTTCTTATTAAATGCTGCTTCTAGCTATTTTCTGTGTGAATATGCTCTCTACTGCGTGCATTTCAATACCTTCCAGAGCAACCTTCATTCTCAAGGTACTTACATTCCTGATAAAGAGATAAAAGCAGAATACCTTAAAAAAACAAAACTAAAACACACAAAATAACCCCACAGTTTGACCCTGACCCTCTTCTAAAAATCTTGTATTAACAAGAAAGGGCAGGTCTCAGTTTTCTCCATTCCTTTTCCTATTGCTTTTTCAATTAAAATTTTACAAGACAGTTAAGGTGGAGTTATGTACAAAAAAGCCAACTTTACAGATAGCTGAGGGGGAGTATTGGGACCTTAAGGCATCAAAAGCACCACAAGTTTGAAATGTTACTACTCTGCACATACTTACACCACCTCTCTGCTAGTAGCCAGGTGGAAAGAATAGCGTGAAAGCTTCTATTTTGCTTCAAGAGTCAGCCACATTAACTCAAGTTGCCTTCAGCAGCAGTGTAGACCACACTGAAGATAAATGCTCACAAAATGCTTCACACTCGCTAACAGTTAAGGGAGTTGTGAACTGCAACCACTGGATCTCAAAAACAGAATTGATCTACACCCTCAGCTACTTACATCATTAAACAATGGCAACTAAATCAGGCATCTGACAGAACGTCTTCGAATTGTAATTGGTTTGCATCATTTATCTCTGAAACACAGTTTCCCTGGACAAGCCTGACTCAACAGCCAGCAGCTTTCAAGGACATGATGTGATTAGCTATGCAAATGACCTAGCTCCTCTTTACAGCTAGATCAACTGGAGGACACCTGGTGGTGAACACATGCAAAGAAATCTCTCTCAGAGATACTTCAGCTGTACCAAAGCCGTCCATGTTCAATAAAACTGTTCTAAACACCTAACAGAATAAAATATTCTCTAGGACAGAACTTACACAGTGACAGACACACAGACAGAGCAGATTCAGCTATTTATATTTTACAGCTGTGAAAAATAGCAATTGCTTACCAGACTAGATGCAGTAACTTCACTATAGAGGAGTCCAAAAGGTACAATGAGGAAGTGCTCCTGCTCAGAATTTACTCTGGCCTAAGGATAAAACAAGAGTAAAAGTTACTAAGAATATTTTATTAAAGCATTCAAGAAGGCCCAAACCCATGAAAGTTACTTTCACTTCCTGAGTATGGAATGGGCAAGTATGCCTATAACATACACAATATGACTGTCATGTACACTACAACAGCTTAGCAACATACAGCACAGTTAATTAACTCGTGTTGGACAAAACCAGATGGTTGGCCCATGCCAGAGTCCTTCAGATTGGTGGAAGGTCATAAACCCTTAGATCCTGTGGTAATGACAACTAGACTATTGTGAATAAAAGGAATTATACTGAGGTTACTCTTTTTTTTAGAAGAATGAGTTTATACTCCAATTGTATTTGTACCCTAGTAAAACAGAAGGTATGAAAACTAAAACATCTTGATGCCCAGAAGGATTTCATCCCTGATGCTGGTGCCATGCGAGACATTTGTGAGCAGTACAGCACACTTGTAGGTTTTCTACCAAGTATCCCGACCACCACTCATGTTTTTGCTCTTTTGTCTAATTTACACAATCAGGAATTTATAATACAAAACTAATTCTGACTTCAAACCATTCACATCTTGGGATGCATCTGTGTAAAATCTGTACAATATAAACTACAGGACAGATAAGTAGTTTAGGTGTCTCTCAATGGAGAACTAATATGTTTCAAATGTTTTACTGGACACATGAGACAACTCCCTATTTTGCTATTAGTCTACCCAGTTTTTGTGGGGTTTTTTTATGTTTTTAAAAATGTATTTGTTTATTTATTTATGAGTTTTCAATTTCCCCACGATGCAGCTACTTTATGCTCCCTCATGTCTTCTACTACTTGCAACTTTGCTACAGTTCTACTACAGGGAAAAAAGTTTTGAAAATGAGTATGTGATCCGTCATCCAAAAGCTTCTAGTACGAACCTAGCTTCCTTTACAACCAGCTGGTAACATGCTCTAGTGTAAGAGCCTTAAACTGCACCAGTTAGTTCAAGTTAACCTGTACTTATGAATCACCAAAATAGTTCTCCATTACAGAAGTGTAAATGATCTAGAATATCTTTTACTTATTTATGCAAGACAAAGGACAAGTATTATTCAAAATGCCCCAAAAGCTAATAAGAAAGCTCAAACATAAGATAAACAAGAAATGAGACTCACAAACCACCCTACTTTAGGATTAGATCCAATAAACAGCTCATGCCCTCAAAGCAAACCAAGACTTGGTGAATGACGTGTACCTCCTGTAAACCTGTAATCTCCAACTCTGTCTAACCCTGGAGGCATCCAAGTTTATTCTACATTACTGTACTTGACATGAAAGCTCTTGATGCTCTGTAATTCTGCTTGTGCATCAGGACTGCACCAGTCTGAACAGTCCCACACACAGCAGCTGTCAGTGACTGATCAGGATCCAGAAAAGCAAAGATACTCCACCCAATTCCCTGATATGCCCAGATTGGCATACACTCTCATATCCTCACAATTCCTTTCTCCTCTAACACACAGGCCCCTCAAAGGCGGCTGTTTTATCTTTTCTCTTACTTTAGAGACACTGGTAGCTTTTAACTTGAATGCAGTCACTAGTAGTTATAGCATGCACTCACAAAGACCTGAAAGCCTGGACTCAAATTCAAGCTGTGCATGAAGTGGTAGGTGTTCATTACATTCCAAAGTGCCTTACTACCACACTACTACTTAATGTATATACATAAATATAACAGCCTTGTTCCAGATCAGTTTCTGAAGGTAAATTATAACCATTAGTCACTTTTCAGAATGCTATTCATTGGACAAGTTTGTAAAAGATGAGTCAACTACGACTTGTGATTGCTGATGACAAACTATTAACCAAGAGTTTACCAGTACCACTTTGCCCTTCAAAACTGTCTAAAAGACTTTCAGAATCTCATACTTCAAGTGCTTTGACTGTCTTCCACCTCAACTGATGTCACCATTATCTAATATTCCTGTGCTTCCTCCCCCTGCAAAAGAACAAAAACTTGATGCATTCCATCCCAATCCCATGCCCTTGCCCTAACCACTTCCCTAGACACGCTGCTCTTCATCACATTTATCTTTTTATCTAAAGGCATGAACACTCCCAGGGCTAACCTTTACACTAGAAAGGCATCTTCAAACCTGCTTGCCTATTAATCTTTTTACTGCATTAATGTCCCTTTTATAAAATCAATTCTCCTGTCACGTAGCAAAAATCAGAGGGTGGCACAGAGTGGTTTACAAGAACCATTATGTTGGACACATTCCCTTATTAAAGGAGCCAAACAATCTAAGCAACATTGCCTTGATCCAATGCCTACCCATATCATTTCTCATCTTCATTAGTTCACAAATTATATACTTTGAAATCTCAAACACAGTAATAATAAAATTACCATATCTCATTCAGACTGCAACTAGAACTGAAAATACATACAGGACAACTGCTACTATGTAGAAAAAAAACAATTCAGCTCTGTTAGGAAAACAATTGACTGGGTTGCACATCACAGCTGTGACTTTACTCATGAGACTCATGTTGATCATTCTTCTGGCATATAAAACCTCCTTGATTTGTCCTCCTCGTCATTATTTTTACAGATTCCAGCAATTACTCAGTCACAAGGAAAACTGTTGGCATACTGTATTAAGCTAAGTAGTTTGCACGTATTCAAAAATACTGTGGGTTCTTTTTCAAAAATGTTGCTACCTTGAATCATAAAATTCAACTGCATGACTAATAAAGATACTTTAGTACTTAGCAAGAAAATTAAGGCATGACCTTGCAGAATAATACACACAGTTATTCAAGCATTTGAGATACTAAAAAGACCAAGTTCTTCAGGCACCTTAATTTCATCAGAAGAACCTTCAATTATACTCTCCTAAGACTCTATTCAGGCTATGGTAGCTGATATCCAAGCCGTTCCAGTTCTTATTCTTGAGATGCAATGACAAATCTCTTCACTATTATACTGGTTTTCAATACCACTTTGCTCCTCTCCCACACAAAGAGAAAATGACAGATGGGGGAGGAAAGCAATTCTCTCATACGTTAAAACAATTGGTTCAGTTATCTGTTGATTCAATACTCACTGTTATATGATTGTAAATAAGCTGAGACCAGCCAAAGAGATCTGCTAATCTGTAGAAAGCTGCCAATTTACATCGTAACAACTTCTCTCCTTTTTCATAAGCAATGGAATCTGATCCTCTAAGATCATTCACTGGTGTCACCATGCCAAGACCTGAAAAGGAGAAGGAGTAAAAAAGCACAAGGGAGAGTTGTATTCAACATAAATTAAAACCTAACGATATGCACCGCTATTACAGTGGCTGTTCTTACTAATTTATATCAACATATTAACCTAAGAAATGGATAGCAAACTTTAATTACTATGGTGTCATAATTTATATTACACAAATATAATGGCAGTCCCAGACAAGGTCATTTATCTTCTGTAGATTCAGCATTTGTTTCATGCCTTCATATTCATTAGTGGTAAGGTGATAATGTGTTCCTTAGCAGAATATATTCTTCTCTCTCAAACTCATGATTGTCTGTAAAATACAACTTAATTGTTAACAGAAAAATGTAACCCCAAACACTGCACTTTTTGAGATACATGATTTGGTGTTCCTGAAAAAGATAATTACACATCTAAAAAAGATGCACACAGGTTCATTTAATTAGGAAATATTAAGTACAAGCTAGAGAGGGGGATTTATGGTAAATAATTACAAATACTGTCGCTCTAGTTACTGTGCAATCAGAAATGTGGTTAAAAGTAACTGTAGTAAAACAGAACCAGGCCATACTGCAGTCTAAACTACAGATTTAATTTGGAGCACAGGCAAGGATTTATACTATCTTAACACAAAACCTATGGGTACATGCACTTGCTCATTTTGGTTTTTGCTTTCCTTTTTTGTTTTGCCTGCTGATGTTTCTTGTCCGTAGCGTCACTTCACAGAAGAAAACTGCAAACAGTATTTCAAATGCAAAAATAATCTGTTGCTAAAGACCCTCATCATTACTAGACTACTAATGAGCATTTCATTTTCCTGCAGACAATCCATGTGTCAAACATCAGCAATATTTAAATCTTTAAATTTTTTACTAGTGCTGACTTATCAGGCTTACTTTTCAATTAGGATACCATACTTGAAATAGCTTTTGATATAAATTATATACATTAATCACATTACCTGTCACTGTGGCATTAGAAACTAACCAATTTGTCTTATATTTGCAATGTTCCCCAGAGCAGAACAGGATAGCATTTAAACTTCACTGCACTCTTCATTTCATTCACACTGTCTTCATTTTAAGCCTTTCACAAAAAAACAAATCAACTGTTATAAAATAAGGCACACTCACTCATGTTCAACGCAGCCATTCCGCCTTGTGGTGCTGCAGGGTAGACATTGGGTACGTTCGTTGTCATGAAATCTGCAATCTGCTGCAAAGCCAATAAACCTGTTGGGTTCTTCCCCTTCTTAAATTGTTCCTGAATCATAGATTCCAGTTCTTCACAAAAAGCCTAGCAACAGGACATTGCATATTGTAAAGCATGTTCAAATGAACTTCAACCATTCGTACACAGCTTCTTTTTAGCACTTAGACGGAAACATCCTATACCTCTTCTGAAAACCAGCCCAGGGCAGAATTACCAGGTGCATAATGTTACTTGAAAATGTTGCTCTCTGGAGCTCCAATGATACAAGTCACCTTTTTTTTTCATGAATGGAAATTCCAGCATTCTCTCCAAGTAATACCAAAACTCATGGAACCTACTAAAATGGATTTCTGGAAGAAGGAGCAGGATGTACAATCAACTTGAACACAAAACATGAAAAGTAATAGAACCAGAGAAGAAAAATCATCAGTGTGGCTCACAAGGAACTGAGAGCCAAGAAGGCATCCAGGAACACAGGAAGGAACAGTCACTGAATTTTTAAAATACGTTTTAACAAGAGGTTGCTTACGTCCTTCCTGGTTTGTTTTGGTTGTTTTTTTTCTTATTTCTGTTTGGGGCTTTTTTTTTTGTTTTAACTTTAAAAGTAAGAAAACAAGATTTTTTTTACTATTGCTGGTAGCTGCTAGTTTTGACAACACTGGAATTTGTACTGAAAGAGAAGTATTCCAATCGTTAAGTGAAATCTAAATAAAAGGAGTTGATTTCACATGGAAAAACTGTAAATATACCACTTCATCCTTATTCTTAATGAATTCCTGTCATGAAATGTTTTGCATCTAAAGTCACCCATCAGTTATTACAACAGGAACAAATGTTATAAGAGAAATTTTGCTTTGTGTACTTTCTCCCTGAGGGAAACATCTTCAATATTACATTTCAATCATTCATAGTTTATTATGGTGCACCTTTTCATAAAGAGATATTTATAAATATTTCCTATGTCACAATTGTGCATGAAAAACTGAGCACAGGCTGGACCTGCCTTGTGTAAGCTACTCCTGGAAGAGAGAGTTACTTAAAGTGTTTAAATTAATAGTAAATGTACGAAACAAGTGAAAAAATGTCTGACCAGGACTAGATGGACAATTCACAGAGATGATTACACAGAGAATTCTCAAAGTAAGACTGAGGAGCTTCCTCATGAGTAGACAATAAAAATTCAACCAGACAATGTGAGGAAAAATTAGGCTACAATTAGGATACTTTAGAAGAAAGGTCAACCACAGAAAAAGATCAAATAGATCTAAGATACCATAAAATTCTTCAATTCCATAGGGATAGTAAAAATAGAGATATTAAATTTTATCACTTTAAAGTTGGAGCATTTTCTTTTCTTACTGGGCTTTGAAGAATCATGGAGACTCTCTTCTTCTGTTCCATCATGTTAAAATCCTGGCGAAGGTCAGGTGCCATATTCCTTTCTCTCAAATAATCCGGATTATTTTCATCAACTCGATCAAAATACCTCTCTTTATGAGGGGCTGTTGTTGGAGGTGGTGAAGTCACCACCCCCACACCAGAATCACCATTCATAGCACAGCTTTAAGGAACCTATGAAGAGGAGGCAGAGAAGAGGACTAAATAAATTGAGCAAGGAAATAATTAAGAACTTCATACATGTTTCTTGTTTTAAGAGTTTCAAATCCATCTAAAATTAGCCTGGATTCCCAAACACAGAAACCATGTTTACGCAATTGGATAGCAATTGTTTTAGAGGAGAAAAAAAGATTTTAAAGTACAAATTAGAAAAGTAGGTAATATATATGCAAAGTCAAATATGATATATACGTACATGCTACACAAAACTAGAGTTCCCATTTAAACTACTTCCAGTTCTTTAAGTTGTCTACACAGCTTCATTTTCAGAAGCATGGAAGTCTTTCAAACCTTCTCAGAGATAATGACAGAGAAGCCCAGGACACATGAAGGTCTAAACTCATTAGTTTGGTTTTGGCCTTTTTTTACTTAAAAAATTAAAGCTGACATAATGAAAAGAATATTGTACAAATCAGAATTTGAATAATTAAGGAAAATAGGGTATTAGACATGTTCATTAATAAAAACTCAACCCCATCAAAACATGCTCAGATTGCGAACGCATTTCTGGAGACACAGCCAGAAATACTGACTCTACAGCCTGAGGTGTGTTCTTCACAAATATATTTATTTTAGGTTCATTCAACATGCACATCACAACATTAGCATTTGGTTTCTGGAATCTGGAAAGCACACACACAAACACAACCCCCACCCACCAGCCAGGGTTCACTTCAGTTTTACATGTTGTAATCAGCAACTGCATGTATCTACCAGAAAGGCTGAAAACTCAGCTGGTATTGCTCATACACACATCCTTCTTTCACTCACAAGAATCCCTCTGAGTAACATTATCCCAGTTTTCTGGGCACAGCATTATAATCTTCATTCCAAAAATCCTTTTTAGAAGATTTTTTTTGAAGGCTTCCACTGACAAGCAACCAGTTCAATAAAGCCACCCTTGCAACACCTTGAGACTCAAACCTCCGATCCCCGTTCATCTGACGCAGCGAATTAAAATTATGCTTTTTCAGAAAAGATTTATTTTCTTTGCATATTGTACCTGATTAACCAAAATGTCACTAACACAAATTTGTACTTCACTGAACCGTAATAAGAATATTTAACTCTGAATGGCTTGCTTATTCAGCAAACTGCAGTTATTTATATTATACACAAACCCCACAAGGTTGAAATCCCTTGCCATCAAGACATTTAGCAACTTTACTATGAAAACGAGCAGGGAAACATTAGTAAGTCTTTTCCTGGAGGTGGAAGAATAGCTAAAGAGAATAAAGTAGCAGCATCTAGCTCCCTGTCCCAGTGAGGCAGAATGGACTAATTGCAGCAACACTGATTTAGATTCTGGGTTCACACAGTAAGGAGAATCCCAATTTAAACAGTCCATTTCAGTAACCATCTTCAGTTTTGCAGGGATTAGTGCCACTAAAATCTGCCGACGTTATCAAGTCATTGCAATTCTTTTTGCTATGTAGTAGGAAAGACTGTAAGTATCTTCATTTAAGTAATGATGTCTTCTACATGTTATAACTAGTAAATTTTTATAGATATCTCTATTCTTTTACTATTTTTAGATTTTTCTTTGTGACTCATCTTAAACTGTACTTGCTTGTGGATTTTAATCTGAGTAGGAATTTACTTGCATTATTTATTAGCTAAAACCACCCAAGATATGGATGCAAGTTTACATACATTATTTTGAAATGCAGATTATGATAAAAGCATTGCAGTGAAGAAAATTATCTACTTCAAGATTTCAGAATTAGCAGATCTCATCCTCTTTCATTCTTACACTAGAGAACAAGGTTCAGAATTCAACTGGTTTCTCATTTCAGAATGAACAAATGATTGAACGGAGACAGCTGAACACAACGAGCACAAGATTATTTCCCTTGACTCTGCAGAAGAGGATACTGACACAATCTATGTTAGCACTTGAGACACTCGAGTTTTAGATGCTCTGTGATTTCCACCCACTGAGTTGCTAAATAAACGCACAGAGACACCTCTGCATTGTTTAAAGTATTTCATTTTAAACCAATCTGTTTAGGCTTTAAAAGCCATGGCTGAACTTTTGAGTAAGCACACATACACATCTTTATTACTATAACTTCTTTTAACTATTGATTTCCTCCACCCAGGAAGAAGTACAGGGTGTAGCAAAAAGAAATAATGCTTTTATCCACATGGAAAACCCTTTAGGGTATTAGATTTAGAAAGTTTTAAGCAAGTAAGTGAAGTCATAGCAAAGAAGCCACCTCTCCTTTGGCTGTTTCACATCCCTAACACACACCCTTTAAGTTCTCTTCCTCACCACAAACTCCAGCCGGCACCATCTGCCTTTTCACACCCCAAAAGAGCTTTTGAAGGCCCACTGCCACTTTCCACAACCCCTCTTCTGAGCTCTATGAGCTCACTGACATCCTGATGTCACTACATCCAGGTTTTGGTTGGAAAACGGCAGTTTGCAGATCCAAGCACATGGCTTATTCTCTTACAATAACAGCTCACTTGGCCCAATCCAAGTCTGAACTTCACCACCCTCTGCTTATCACAAGGAATCTGAGAGTTTAGAAACAGCACAACAGGAAGCCCACAAATAAAGACACTCCAAACTGGCCAAGTAATTCTGAATTTATACTGCATTCTGTTGAACACAGCCCCAAACGTGCATTTACTTCAAAGCAAACCATGGGAAACTATCAAGTTCACACTTACCACACCCTTGCCACCAGCAGAGAACAAGGCTCTGCTCCTGCCCACTGAAGCATTCAACTTCTAGAATACATTTAAGCAAGGTTGCATCTTGTGCATGTGCAGTCCTATTTAAAGAGAAGTGTACACACATCTGCTAAAATAATTTTGCATTTAATTATTTACACTAATTCCATCTTACTTTCAGAGTACCAAAAGCTATTTCCAAATGAATTATATACATAACTACTACTCTTCGTTGTTTCTTACTCACACTGGGAAGAAGCTGTCACAGGCAACATTACAATGGGATCACAATGCCTCACCAAAATTTTATTACTCCTTCACCCAAGAATAAGGTGGAACTCAAGAAGGTCCTGGGAAGCTATCACTGGCAATAATTTATCAGGAAATTCAATGTTCAACATTAAGTGATCATTTTATATCTAAGGTTAAGTATCAGTTTCATAGCTCCGTTTTATAGATGCCCAAAATTAATGGTATCCTCCCCCAAGGTCTAGTAATTAGCTGTTTTACTGTAATAGTAATTGTTCATTTTAATGGCTGTCAGCTACTGATGATAAAGGTATTGATTTTTGAATTAGAAACAGATGTGTTTGACAACATTGTGCACAAGCCATTGAAATTTATTTATGAGCTTGCTCAGAAGACCCTTTGGGAGCACGGCGTGATGAACTCTCCTGTACGAGCTTCAGTGATACAGACACCAATGAATAAATAAGGGGAATCAGGAGAGTTAAACTGAACACACACTGGGGAACGGCCAATGGTTCTATAAACTGGAAAGTCACACTGAAAAATCTCAACAGGCTGCCCAGACAGTGAAAAAAAACCCCAAAAAACCAAAAAAAACCCAACTTCAGACTGTCTTCACACCTACAGCTCTCCAGCTACAGAGGGTTCCTGCCCGATGCGGTGTACTACAGCCTCCAAGTAAGATAAGCTGTAATGTCAAAGGACTTTTTGCCAAGATAAGCGTTTCCATGCAGAGCCTGCTCTAACACAACTGTGTGAGAAAGAGCCACACCCTTAACTGAAAAAGCCATGGCTGGAAAACATCAGTGCAGAAAAAAAGCCCTTCTCTCAGAAGCAGCTATTTACAGACATAAAGAGACAGTCAGAGGGAACATCACGTATTACTGGGTGGGGGGGGAATCACAAAATTATAAATTTCTAATCACACCTTATAGTAATTGAAGCAATTAGATCCATTCTTATAATATGTATGTACGTATAAACACTCAAAATTTCAATAAACCACCACATCAAATGAGAGCCACCAAGCTAACAGCATATTGTATTGATCACAGGGCATGGGTGTGTGTATGCAAGTACTATGAACAGGTTGTTAATGAAATACTTCTTTTTGTCAGAAAACCAGCTTTATAAAATTTATATCACATTTATAGATACTGAGCATTGCTTACAAAAACATTCTGAAATTAGTATTAATATTTCAGGTTACTTTTAGCTTTCAAAATCCCCTTCCTCTCCATCCTCTTCTAACCCAAGCAAGTTTCGTCACAGGATTCACCTAAGAGGAAGTGGTGCTACGCAGTTTATTTAAAAATAAATAAATAAATAAATAAAAAGTTTTAGAACAGGAAAGCCATAAAATTGTTCACATTAACAGCCAGAAAGAAAAATCTCAATTTGTAAGCAATTTATGTTCCTCGGTACTTAATCTGAAGAGTTACATAGAATCATAGAACGGTTTGGGTTGGAAGGGACCTTAAAGATCATCCAGTTCCAACCCCCCTGCCATCAGCAGGGACACCTTCCACTAGACCAGGTTGCTCAAAGCCTCATCCAGCCTGGCCTTGAACAATTCCAGGGAGGGGACATCCACAACTTCCTTGGGCAACCTGTTCCAGTGTCTGACCACCCTCACAGTGAAAAATTCCTAATATCTAATCTAAACCTCCCCTCTTTCAGCTTAAACCCATTTCCCCTTGTCTTGTCATTAGCTGTCCTTTATCATGTTGCCCTTACATGATGCACATATAGTGAAATAAATTTAAACAGGCAAGACAGTGAATAACACCCAATAAGAACCTATAATACCTTAAAAGCACATAAAAAACCAAACCCTTAAATCTAAAAAGTTACATTGTGTTTGGGCTGGGATCTCATCATAGTTAACAAAACGCATTTAAAACTTTAATATTAAACTCATTTCAATACCTGGAAGTCAGGACAGATCTAAGTACTTATGCCTCTGGTAATTTATAGGTTCTCACCTGAATCACCATCATGAATATTATGGGAACCTTGAGAAGATTTAAAACATCTCACATGTACA